GGGAGGGGAGCGATGACGAAGAGGTGGGTGAGGAAGGGACCGGTGAAGAAGGGCAAAATGGCGAGGGTATAGGCGTCGGGTGCGAATCTGTGACAAGGAGCGGGTGTACAGCTGCAACGGAGACAGCAGCAGCGGCGGTCCCAGCAGCAGGTGGAGCACGGTGATGATTCTGAACCGCACACGGCGTAACCAGGTTGGTCACAGCATTTCGCAGCAGCTGCCCCATCCGCTGCCTCCCTACATGGTGGCTTTGCACCGGTTCCTTTGCCCGTACCTCCGCCACCGCGTCGTTTGATAGCACTGGTCGCACGAGCGCGGAGTATCTGTTTGACGAAGCTGGAGAATTCAAAGATTCCGTGTCAGTGGTGTCTGTGCGGGAGCTGATGCTCCGGCAAGAGGCTTCGGAACAGGTGGGAGCAAGAGTGGAGCGGGAAGCAGAGGGACCGTCCAGGTCGCGGGATATTGAAGGGGAAAATCCGTGGCTTGTTGGCTGACCGAAGCTGTAACCAGCGGAGTTACCGAAAGCGTAACCGCCTGGAACCTCAGGAGGCGTAGGACAAGGAGGAGGGGGAAGAAGAGGATGAGAAGAGCCAGCGGCTGGTACAGTAGACCCGATGGTGACAGAACTCTCGTAGCTATTTGTTAGAGCAGAGAAGTTTACGTGATTGTCTTGAGCACTGAAACGACGGCCATAGGTATCCGGAAGAGCCGGCAAACTTTCTTCATTGTCCCTTAGCCTGGTTCGATGCGCGGTAGAAACTACATCTCCGGAGCTGGAACCATCGCTGCAACCGTTGTTGTTGTTGCTGCGGTCTGCAGTCCTGATGCTTTCTAATGCAGCTTTGACTCGGTTCGCCCTGAGAAGTTTTTTCTGGAAGCCTGGTACCTGCACTCGCGGATGAACAGGTAAATCGTTCATACTAGCTAGTTATGACCAATCGTCAGCAGCTACGCAATACTAAGCTCGCGCAATCGAACCCTGTGAACACTAGACACTAGAACAGACTCTACTCGTGGTGAATAAAGGACGGGAAAGACGGAACGAGAAAGTTTAGGACTTTTGAGACCCTTGGTCTATGGTTTGGGGAGAGTCGTGGACAGATTCTTGTGCATTCAGACCTTGTGTGCAGCAAGAGGAGCAGCTGTGTCGTGAAGGCGTTTCATGTGGTATAGAGTGGTCTAAAGGATAAGTTGATTGTTTTCATCGGGCAAATCCCTCCACTGCCCACCTGCCATTGATAGCGTGGTTGCAGCATTTCATTGGTCCTACCAGAACAATCAAGCTGGATACAGATGAATCCAGACCGTTCAGAAATATATCTACGACAATTGTACAATTGTAAATACGGTACCTGATGGCTGTTGGCCAGTGGCGTCAACGTGGACAGCATACAGCGGCTCCGCTAATGTGAGTTGGGAAGGACGAAGAAACTGTATACCCAGCGCAAGTCATGATTTGAACCGCAGACGATAGGGGACCGCCGCCGTTCATTGGTCCAAATCCTCCGACCCCACTGGCTTCCCCATTCCGCGCGTGGCGCACGGGGAAACGCCGTGTTGGATTGGGGATATGAAATGACTGCGCCCTAGAAATCCAAACCACCTGACGGGGGAAGGGCGGGCCAAAGGCGGAAGCAGCACTCGGATCCTCTGCTTCGACCGGGATTCATTTTTTTTGGCGAAACTCCATTTTGCCCGTGGCGAGACGATTTTACTCGGATTTGACTCGGATTCGGCGCAAAAGGGTGTTGGATCTTACAAAATCCAAACCACCTGATGGCGCAACGAAATGGGCGCAAGAGTGGTTACACTACCGGTTTGGATTATCGACGGTCGCACGAAAGCGACGTCGCAACCACTGTTGTACAGTATTTGTATATAAACTTTGTTGTTGACACTTTGGTGTAATTCTGACAAGCAGAATGTCAAAATGGCTAAGTCAAAATTCTATATGGTTTGGCTCATAACTCCATCATTTGTTGGTCATTTGCACACAAATATGGATTTCCAGCATCTCCTTGATGTCCTCTACAAGCGGGCATGAGTTTGTTATTTTGTCAAATTTGTTCCATTTTGTCACTTTTCTCTCAACTAAGATTGCTCATAGCACATGTAAAGTCATTCTCTGTGCATCACACACATGTGTTATGTGGTTACCATTTTTTTTGCATTGTTAGTGTTATGACACCTGTTCCAGCCCCCCTGAACATTTTCAGCTATATGCAAACTGATTTGGTGGACTTTTTCTTGCAATGAAGTTAGTGTACAGAAATGCCTGGACTTAGGTTTCAATTGAAATCACCCACTTCTCCTTGAGCAAATGAGCTGATTTTTATAGGAGACTCTCACCACACATATTCCAGACCCCCACATGAAATTCATCTCATTTGCCCAAGGTTTGATATGTGTTTTAAGCCTTGCTGTGCAGCAGTCTGCAGAATTCTGTGCAGAATTGCCTGGAATAAGGTTTCAATAGTAATCACCCACTTCGCCTTGAGCAAATGAGCTGATTTTTATAGGGGACTCTCACCACACATATTCCAGACCCCCACATGAAATTCACCTCATTTGCCCAAGGTTTGATATGTGTTTTAAGCCTTGCTGTGCAGCAGTCTGCAGAATTCTGTGCAGAATTGCCTGGAATAAGGTTTCAATAGTAATCACCCACTTCTCTTTGAGCAAATGAGCTGATTTTTATAGGGGACTCTCACCACACATATTCCAGACCCCCACCTGAAATTCATCTTTTTTCGTAGACGTGTAGTATGTTTTTCACTCTCTCCTCTGCAGGCGGGAGCAGAGCACTTTGGTGAAATGTACAACATTTGTTTTGTACTCCAATGCCACTGTTATACGGGTGCTAATGATAGGGCACTCATCTCACACTTATAGGATTACCCGTTATAGTATTGGGTGTGCTAATCATGCAAAGTTCATGCTTGTGTTTGAATTATGGGTTACAAAATCTAGTACTATACGTGCTACACAAGTACCCCTATAGCGGTACTCTCGGATGTAGGGTGTCATTCGATTTCTGACACGTGTGACAGGTCGCAGAGACAGCTCTATTTCCAGGTTGCTGAGGGAACCATGTGGATGGGATAGCTATACGTGGCAGCCTGTCATTAACCTGTCACAGGACACCATTCGTTTTTTTTAGGGGCTGCCCGTCACCATTTCGTACGAGGTCGAGGCAAAGCTGAGACCATGCAATGGCACCGCAGAACATGCAATATGCTAACATGGCAAAGAGTAGTTCGCAAATGGTCGAAGGGAAATGGTGAGAAGCCTAATATTTTGAGCCATGGGGCAGAAAATTCTTACTACGCCTGGCGTTTGAGGACAGAGCACAACCAATTCTACCAGCGAAGCAGAAGTTGGGATCAGGGTGGGTGCACCAAAGCTCGACGTCATTCTCGCCATTCCAATCTGAGTCGAGGTTCCACAACTAGTCTCACAAGCTTCCCTCTCATTCTAGTGTCGGCCTCTTATCCTGCAGGTAGAGAGTGTTTGTTAGTAACCGTTTAGCTACCTGCCATCTTCTGGCATACTTACGCGATGTCGTCCCAGCTAATCACAGACGGCTGCGGATTGTCGGTACGACTAGGGCGGGAGTCTTATGAAAGGTTAATCGCTCGTCAGGAAGAGTGGAACGAGGCGTTGTTACTTTTCGGCCTAGTGTATGTATCCAAGCGCGGTTTGTAACGCACGCTGACTTCATCGACACGTTGAACCCTTGTTTTTTAGACAGGCACCTGCTATCTTCTTACCTCTGCGACATGTCGGCTTGGATGCAGGGAGGTTGCCAAGGACAAGATTGGGGATCCTCGCGTTCGCAAAGACATAAAGATTCTGGCTCCTACCGAGCATCGGCGTTTGAGGTCTGCTGTCCCGCGTGTCCCCAGTTGTGGCAGCGAACATCGGTCGCTGTTGGACTACCAGATGGTTTTAATACCCATGATATCAGAGTGAGTTTCCTGACATGTATCCGCAACGTGTGTCGATGACACCAGCTATCTTGCTAATCCAAACTTCCATGTACCGCAGAGTCGCTGTTGTTCGCTCGACGGCGATCAGTCTCATGGTGCTGATGAACCCGCAAGATTTGTTAGCACATCCCCGCGGAGAGTACCGTACGCGTGTGCTACACCTCGACCCTAAATCTGCAATCCCAACCCATCGCCACAGCGAGCATGCCAAGGAGGTGTTCGAGTAGGTATCACTCCTTAAGCAGATGTGCGGTTTGTGTGGACGCATGATATTGATTATTTGCGACCCCCTTGCCCTGTAGCTGGCTTATCCGACAACTAGATGTGGAATACAGCCGAGGTCGCAGGGTCTCTGGCAGCCACGCCGAAGCGGTGCAGAAAGATTTGAGGGCTCGCCTAAGTGATCTGATTCTGGAGGAAGGCAGGGTAAGGAAGGAGCCTCTATTTTTATGATTTAAGCATTGTATGATATCAAGCTTGTACAAAGTAACGGGAGTGTCTGACAACCACCTTTTCACGCACATGTTGCAGATCAACAAGGTTCAGGGACAGAGGCAAGTGGGTTCCGGGCTGCATGTTACCCATGTGTTCAGCAAGTTGCTGGACAAATGGGGGGATGTCATGGCGATTCAGTCTGTAGAGCCGATGATGGTCTTAGGGAAGGGGAAAAACAGCGCGAAAGAAATTCGGAGTATGCTGGAGTCGACCTGCAGGGCCTTCTTCGACCTGCAAGGAGTCCAGCTCCGTCCCGCCCCGGATGCAGTCATGACGACCCACTGTGCTCGAGTGGTAGAGAGCGCACCCGCACAGAACAGATCCGAAGCGGTAGAGGGACAGATAGACGTACCTGCCGCAAACCGGGACGCAAATCCAAGAGTTGGGTTTATTTCATATTCCCGCCGACCTGCACCGAGGGATGCAGTACTCAGTGGCCCGACATCAAGGGCAGCCACTGCTGAAGAGCATGATAGGTCTGGAGATAGGCAGCACAGGTTTGCTGATCGGGTTAGGATGCCGCAGGAACGCGAAGCACGGACGGAGACCGACTTGGCAAGCGTAGCAGATGAAGGCGAGGAGGGTGTAGAAGATCCACAGCTGCCAAGTCAGGTCGAACAGGCAGAGGAGCACTGGAGGAAGGCGGCTGATGAAAAGCGGATGGTCGAAGCAGAAGCCAAGAGTAGACGGGCTGAAGAGATGCAGCGGCGCAGTGATGGCGGCACCGATCCTACCGTCTCTTTTCCGGGAACTGGAGACATACGTGAAGCATGGGAGCGTGGGGCACGAGCCGCTGCAAGGGCACACGTGGGAGAGGCAGGAGAGGAGCTCGCCAGCAATGTGCGGCAGCATATCGAGGAGGATAGGGGATACGAGGGAGATGCGCTGGAAACAGAAGAGGAGCAGAATGAGGAGGATACGGTACATCCGGCAGTACGGATATTTTTGGGAGGAAGTCCGACGCGGGGACCAGGAACTGGGGTAGAGGGGCCATGGAGGGTGGCAGACGATGGGGCGCCTAGGGATACAGTGGGTCTCAACAGGCAGAGGCGGCCCACCCTTCACCAGAGAGCAGTGGAGAGGAATCTCGGCCAAGGCGGGGTGGCAGAAGCGTTTTGGCAGGTAGAGTGGGTCGAGGCAGAGACGGCAATACGGCGGATGCTGCATCGGACGAGTACAGTCCTGGTCGAACAAGGTGACAGGTTCGTCGAGGCCGAAAGCTGGGACATAAGCCCGGCAGAGGTAACGCGTCGTCTGACGCTCTTAGCCCGAATGGTGACGCAGACGTTCTGCAACTTGGCGGCCCGCAACAGCAGCATCAGTCGCGACGTGGCCGATCTGACCGTCCATTACTGTCGCGACGCCCTGGCCAACCTGGAAGAAGTCCGCCATGGAAACGAGGAACGGCGGCGCCAAGCTGAAACGGCGGCCAGGTTTCGCGAGGAGGTGGACACGAGACTCTCCAACTTGCAGGAGAGTATCGTAAGGGTGAGTGATCAGGTTCGCCAGTCGGGAGGGGGGATGGCGGAGGGCACGTTAAAGGGGGTGGAAGAGAGGTTGAGAGAGGTTCTGAGAGAAGAGTCTGAGCGGCGGAACAGGGATAGACTGCAGGACAAGGAGCGGAGGCAGAAGGCCATGAGGAAGGAAGCAGACGCCGCAGAGAGACGGAAGAAGGAACAACAGCAGGAGGAAGCGCGTCGGCAGAAGGAGATGAGAGAGGGAATGAAGGAGATGAAGGAGGCGATGATGAAGGAGATGAAGGCAGAAATGAAGGAGATGAAGGATGGGATGGTAAACCAGATTGTGGGGAGGTTGAGCGCGGTTTTGCGAGAAGAATCCGAGCGGCAGAAGAAGGAGAGGCAAGTGGACGCGGAGCGGCGACAACAGCAGGACGCGAAGAGGAAACAAGTGGCGGACGACGAGGAGAGACGCAAGAGGATACAACTGGACGAGCAATGGCGGAAGGAGGAGGAGGTGAAGAGGAAGGACGTAGAGGCCACAGAGCGGCGGAGGAAGAACAAACATCAGGAGGAAGAGCGACGGCAGAAGGAGGTGGAGGCGGGAATGAAGGAAGTGATGGAGGCTGTGAAGGAGATGAAGACGGGGATTACGGGGTGGAAGGAGGGGATGATAAGTGAGGTGGAAAAGCGGCTGTCAATGGTTCTGAGATTGGACGCAGAGCGGCGGCAAAAGGAGGAGCAGGGTAGGAAGGCAACGGAGGGAGATCGGCGACAGAAGGAGGATGCGCAGAGGAAGGAGGCAGAGGAAGCAGAGCGGGTGGAGAGGGAGAAACAGCAAGAGATGGCGCTCCTGCAGAAGGAGGAGGCGCAGCGGAAAGATGCAGAGGAGGCCGAGAGGCAGGAGAGGGAGAAACAGCAGGAGATGGTGCGCCTGCAGGAGGAGGACAGGCAGAGGAAGGAGGCAGAGGAGGTAGAGCGGCGTCAGAGGGCGAAACAGCAGGAATTGGACCGCCTGCAGAAGGAGGAGACGCAGAAGAAGGAGGCAGAGGAGGCCGAGCGGCAGCAGCGGGCGAAACAGCAGGAGATGGAGCGCCTGCAGAAGGAGGAAGCGCAGAAGAAGGAGGTAGAGGAGGCCGAGCGGCAGCAGAGGGCGAAACAGCAGGAGATGGAGCGCCTGCAGAAGGAGGAAGCGCAGAAGAAGGAGGCAGAGGAGGCCGAGCGGCAGCAGAGAGCGAAACAGCAGGAGATGGAGCGCCTGCAGAAGGAGGAAGCGCAGAAGAAGGAGGCAGAGGAGGCCGAGCGGCAGCAGAGGGCGAAACAGCAGGAGATGGAGCGCCTGCAGAAGGAGGAAGCGCAGAAGGAGGCAGAGGAGGCGGAGCGGCAGCAGAGGGCGAAACAGCAGGAGATGGAGCGCCTGCAGAAGGAGGAAGCGCAGAAGAAGGAGGCAGAGGAGGCGGAGCGGCAGCAGAGGGCGAAACAGCAGGAGATGGAGCGCCTGCAGAAGGCGGAGCAATGCCGAGCAGAGAAGAGGGCCAGACTTGCATCCTACGCGGAACAGCAGCGGCAACTGGAGGCAAAGGCAAAGGCGATGGCTGAAGAGACGGAACGATTGGCAAGGGAGATGGAAGAGGAGGATTTGACCATGCAGGGGGAGGGGACGTGGACAGGAGTCGAGGAGGATTTGACCATGCAGGGGGAGGGGACCTGGACAGGAGTCGAGGAGGAAATAGTTGAGGGGTTGGGGACTTTGCTGTTGATTGAGAGCGGGGAGGCGAATGTAGCAGAGGGCGTGCCTAGTGTTCCTGTACGGAATGTAGAGGTGTCCAGGAGGCGGCCTAGACAAGAGGACAGGGAGCCGGAGGGTCATGCGGCTAAGAGACGGCGTGCAGCTGGAATACAGGAGTTGATACCCATAATCCAAGGGGAAAAGAAAGGGATGAAGATCGACAAGTGTGACAACAGGAAAAACGCCGTAGTGGACGACAAGGGTAAGACTTTGGGTGTCTGCCTGCCGTTCAGGGGAAGCGGGTTCTCTCAACGGGGCGAGGGAGCTTTGCAGAAGTGGACGTCTGAGCAGACCGTCGGCGGCCGGAAGCGGAACCTCGGCTCTCACAAAACGGTGTGGGAGAGGGCATACACGGTCGCAGTCTGCTGGAAGTTCTACTTCCCGGATATTGACATGCAGGCATACGGCATGAATCCAAACCGTATAAACAAGTGGCGGGAAGACCTCGACTTCACAACGTGGCTTCCAACAGGGGTGTGGAGCGTCATCAACGAACTCCACCTGGACAAACCGGACGGGTGAGTGTTTATGTGATGTACAGTTGCAACTTCTAAACACCCGCGAAGTTCGATGGTTCTGATCTTGCGACACTGGTGTCTTGTGCAGATTCTCACTCGTTCAAACCAACACGGCTCTTCGGCAGCAGCAGGGGGATGGCTTTCAGGTAGCTGCCTGCGCTGGTGTCGGAATAACTGCGTGGCAGAAGATGGTGGGAGGCGTGGAGGGTGAAAACGGCTATTCGACGGAAGAACACGCAATCGGACTTGCCGCCACATTGTCTGTAATGTGGGCCGCATCCACGAATGTGGACCAGACCCAGTGGGAGACGGGCGCAACAACAGCTGCACGTGGAACTTCTACAGCCATAGCATCTTCTGCTGCCAGATCGTCCACTGCTGCCACCGCCTCGTCGGATGCCTCGTCATCTTCTGCGGCCGATGTGCCCTCTGCCGTCCACAATGCCCTTGCGACGCTTGCAGCCTCGGTTGCTTGCGTTGCGGTTGAGGCGATGAGGTCGGTAAAGGATCAGGAGCATGACAAGGAAGCGTGGATTCTGCCCCTGTCGGATGCGCTGCTGAAAGCGCTTCCGGCAGAGTCGCGAGCGGCCGAGGATGCGAAGCGGATGACGAGGGTGGTGGCAAAGGTGGTGACCTCTTGGTGCCTATGCAGCATGGCATCAAGAGGCCTTCGCCAGCACCAGGGCGTCTGGCTCGGAGTCCTGCAGAAGAAGTTAGGCGGCCGGGATACCACAACAGGGGCGGATAAGGAGAAGAAAACCAAGAAATCGTCCGCGAAGGGGAACGCGACGAAGGATGCGTCGACGGAGGAGAACACCGGCACTGGCGGCCAGGATTGATAGAGGCAGACGGGTTCTTTGGAGGTCTTGTTAGTACCGCAGTAGAAATAGATTTTCCTTTTCGTTTTTTTTATTTAACCGTGTATAAATATAGGTGTTGTTGTATACAATACAATGAGAGATGTATTTTTGCTATGCAAACCTTCACTACACTAGCAAAATTTGTAGGGCGCGTATGGAGCTAGCAATGCAGCCGATAGAACTCGCCATCAAAGGGAGGGCCAGGCGAATAAAAAAATTGACGACAGGACGGCCTTCTACGACACTTAATCTACGTTTAATACTCGGCTTCTACGAAGAGGTAGAAGTATGGGGCTAAACAATCGCATAACATCTTGTCTAAGGGAGCACCTTGTTAAGAACGTATACGGTATTCATATGCACAGACCTTTCTGCTATGGAGATTGAATTCCTCGACGCCGAATTCTGGAGGCAAATTGGAAACGCCACTATACCGCAGAAAAACCGACGTGTTGATAATATCTACCGTCATGGATAGGATCTTCGTTGCTACTAGTAAAATATGACACTGCTTTGCCCAGAAACATATGCTGAGACTGAATAAATCCACGCAAAAGTCTACCGAGTGACCTAAGAACACACATCTACAATCGTGAGAGTGAATTCATCGACGCCGCTCTGTAGAATAAAATCGTATACGATACGACATGACTCCGCAGAATTTCGCCCGGTGTATACCATCGATGTGTGCTTCATTGCATACACCAGAAAAACATTCTACGAAAAACAGCGCGCCCAGGGAATAAGGTGGCATACAAGCCCCAAATCGGGCTTCTACAGAGACAGACAAGTGCCTGTAGTGCATATTCGGTACAACCGGAATAAAGTACCCAAATAACTAAACCGCCCCACCCTTAAGGTACATGCCCCCTCATTTCTGCTCCTTGCGTTTCGACGCTTCGCCCTTCGCCTTTTCCCGTTCCGCCTTCTTCGCCGCAGCGGTTCGTTGTTTCTCCTCTTCCGCCTTCTTCTGCGCCATGTGTTCCTTGTGGATCTCCTCCCACTCATCATCACCAAACAGCGAAGTTGCCCACTCCTGGTCGCGAAGGCCCTTCTTGACTAACAGCCAGCCCACTCTGCGTTGCGCCAGGTCGTTGACGGTCCTCTTTTCCGTCGACGAACCGGTCTTCTGTTTCTTGATGGTCGGAGTCTCATGCAGCACAGCCAGGCCGTTGGTGAATTCCGTGAAGTTGCACACGAGTAAAACCTCGTCCAGCAGCTTAATGGCCGTTGCGGTCGCCGCCTCGGAGCTGTCTTTTCTTAGCGTCTCCACGGAAACCATGACACGATGCACGCGACGCATCTTTCGCTCGCATGCACCCACAGCCATCCCGGGCGTACCTTTGACAGCGAACCGGGAATATGCGGTGATGAAGCTGGAATTCTTGTCCTTCTTCTTATACCGGTCGAACTCTGCAAAGACTTCGCGCAGTGACCGGCCGCCCATGATGAGGCTTGGCTGCACCCACACTTTCCAGGCAGCAGCAACAGTGGTGGCTTCGCGCCAAGACACAACGACCACGACGAAGAATTCTTGGACGGCAACTGGTGCTTTGGATGCGTCCGTTGCCTGGTTTCCTCCTGTTCCCGCGCTCTTCGACGATCCGTCGATCTCTGCAGAGGTGTTTGCCGCGTCATCCCTGGCCGCAACAAACCTCTTGTATGCTTCGAACTCTGCAATGACCCGAGCCTTGTCCTCTCGCTCAGCGGCGAGTTTCTCCCTCAGTTCAGCGTTCTCCATCGCCAACTGCATTTCACGTCCTCTCAAAATCCCAAGCTCCTCCCTGAGCATATTGGCGGTGAGGTGCATCTTATGCAGCTTCTCTTCTGCGGTCGTGCGAAAGATAGCGTCCTGCAGAAACCAGCACGGCAGAACTCAGCATGAACGAATAACTCCTCTCTACCACTAATAGCAGGCACTTACTGCTTTGGCGGTGGTTTGGCCGGTTGCCCGAAGCTTCTCGCCCTGGAAGTGAGAGATAGCGACCAGGTACGCCCACTTTTGGAACAGCGGGTGGTTGCACAAAGGGCTCATCTGCACATATGGATGCCTCTCGCAATTGCACCGCGGGTTTCTCACGCCGTGCTGATGGCAGAACGCCCACATCATAGCCAGATCCTGTGCAACAACGAGGCGTCCGATGCTGGCGAGGGTGTCTAGGAACCTCGCCCCCGCATAGTGCCTCTTCAGCGGATCGGTCTGCGCAGCGTTCCATTCTTCGACCTGACGGGACGAGTATGCAGGAGAAATGGGACGGTTCATCATTGCGTATCAAAATTAAGCTACGAACGCGAAGACTGTACACTAGCACGTACCTTCTTCCAACCCTCTTCGACCCAGGGGAAAATGTGAAGCCTCAAGAGATCCAAGAGCTGCAACCACTCATCCTTCTCCTTAACCTTATGCCGCGGAAGCTTGGCGCGGGCTCTGCCGATGTAGTAGTCTCCACGATCCCCGCTGAATCCTGCCAGCAGCCAAACCGGCTTGAACGGTATGCCGAACACATAACACCTCCGCAACTCCCCCTGCGCCCATCCGCCCAGAGTGCCGATATCGTTGTCGGAGCAACCGTCGTCATGGAGTTGTTGCGCTCCGGATCTGCGGAATGCATGTGTTACCTTGCTCAGAATCCATCTCGCCTTCGTCATGGCCCACTTAATCCAGGTGTTATGCGTTTTGTAGTGCATCTCGTCTTGCTTCTGCTCTCCCTGGCCGCCCTTCTTCAAAGAAAAGAAGAGGTGCGCTTTCGTCCACAAGATCGGTTCAGAAAAGTCGAGAGGCTCGACGATACCGGGGCCGTAGCGCAGAGGAACGAGGTCGTAGATGAAATAAAGCCACAGGAACACATGGCCCATTCCGCAGAGCCGCCAGTCCCTATGCCTTGCAAGAAACTGATGATTCAGCTTGTTGTTGGGGTTGGTCTTCGACTTCCTGGAAACAACGACGAGTACGAAAACGTCCAGATAGTCGTCGAGGTGTGATGTGCTCCGCGTCATGCGGACAAAGAGGTTCCCAAGTCGAATCTTTCGAATGCTGCACCCTCTTCCGAGAAATTGGTGTCCGAGGTGCATCATAACCGGGACTTGCAGAGCCTTCCAGAGAGGAAGCGAGATTTGTGACGGAGGCGTCCGCCACCAGATCTCTAGGAGCTCTTTTCGCAGAACAGTAAGATGCAGCGTCCTATACTGGCTTCCCGTATAGCAATCACCAATTGATCCACGGGTTTGATCTCGACCATCCCTGCATAGAATAGCACAGTAATTAGGTAAAGCATGTAGAACAACATTCACACAAACAGAAAGCACCCGTATACGTTACTCACGCGACTTGCTCGTCGTTCAGATCCTTCAGCTTCACTTTGAAAAAATCCCGAGCATCCTTGATCCAGTCCTTGGTCAGTGTGATGGAGAAGCCGTAGAGCCTCGCCTCGCACCTGGCAAGGCATCCCATTGCGTTCATCTTTGCCTTGATCATTGAAGCCGTGCACCCCTTTGCCTCCTTCCCCACATATTTCTCGACGTCTGGCCGCATTTTTCCACGCAAAAACTTTGCCTGCTCGTCAGTTTCGCAGAAGAGATACTCGATGTATCGGCCGAGCCTCCATTCCGTGATTCGCGGCCCGTGCAGATGAATCTGCCACTCGTCAGAGCTGCACGACCACCCATCGTTTCCCAAGTTATTGCTCATATGAAACCCAACCTCGTCATGCAGAGAGGGAGCAAGGCTATCTGCCACAGGGACATCTACCATAGTTGCCATGAAGATGATCACCCACCACTTGAAGTGTAGAAAGTGGAAACAATAGTGCCTTCTCGTCCCGGCCTCTATCAGTCGAAGCGGGATTGTTGAACGCCGGATCCTGCTCTCCTTTTCCGCAACGTCGGTCTGCCGCTGCGCATTTCCGGGGGCCACAGCCTGCTCGACATGGCTCGCAGAATCGGGAGGTCGTCGTCGTCCCGGCGATGATTCTCCCTCCTCTTCTGCGTCAGAGTGATCTCCATCCTCCTCGTACCGTTCTTCGGGTGCACCGGGTCGTGGGCGCACTCCATCGCCTCCCGGCCCTTCACTCTCTTCTTCACTCCCCTGGACTTGAATCCGGACGGATGGTTCGTAGATACCACCCTGAAACAAATCCTCCTCGGTCGCCTCAAACTCGCTATCGTTCTCGCGATCCTGTGCGTAGTCTGGGTCAGTATTTTCAACGTCCTCTAGGTCTATTTCTCCATCCTCTGCGCCCTGGGCTGCCATGGGGCGAGAGTGGACCGAGCTGTCGGCCATTCACAGATTCCTAATTTATTAGCTAGCAACCGAGACTGGACGAAAGAATCGGATGGTGACAGCCGCGGTAGGTGGTAACGATTCGCAAGTGTGCAGATAACATAGGCAGAATGCTTAGTGGGCTAAGCGCAGAAGGCGTAAGAGAGTCTGTGCTTCAGACGTCTACACATTGGTCGTCGAACACCGCCTACAACTTGCGTTTACATATATATCTGCGCCTACAACTTGCGTATACAGGGTCGCTTGACTGTCCCGTACCGTATAGCTCTGTCACACTTTGTTTTACCGCTTTAATTCTCTACAACGAAACAACGAAAATAAGTTCCTACCATTATACGGATATAATCATCTACGGAACCCTTATGCTTGTACATAACTTTCGTGGGTTCGACGATATTATGGATTGGGAGCGAATACCTTTACCGATAAAAGAAGCCTAACGTCGAAGATGTCCGCCTACAAGAGCGGACGACCTATGACAATTGTTCCGGGCAAATACAAACAGTTCTACCGACAAAATATTATACCACACACATCTGCGCCTACATATGCGACCTAACAAGTACGACTGCAGTTATCCTAACCGGGCTGACCCAAAAAAAAAACCCACTCTATACGACCTACGTCACTATGTCGAGGATCGCCAATGTTATGCCAGTGGGCCAAGCAGGCTTAAAAGATTACGCTGGTGGACTAACAGGTGCTGGAAGAAAAGATCTCAAAGGGCTTGCGGAACATGAAATGCAAATGAAAAGGAGCAAATGAGCACGAAAACATCTATTCATACCCATCCACCACACACAGAAGCCCGTGTCCAGATCTGGTCATCCAACCCTGGGCTGGATGATTCTCCCGCCAAAAAACAACAGGTGGGATATGGTCCTACTAGACGCTGATTGGCTCTTGCAGCCTTGGGACTCTGACAACAACTGTTGCCATGGCCACGTGTGCAGAACACCTACAGTTGGTAAACAATGACTATAAAACACAATGAGCAAACGTAGGATGCTACACTTGAACTCATGTTATTTATAAAACACATAACATCAAAGGTATAAAGGAACACACGTGCTGCAGCTTTAAGGTGGCAGCAAAAAAAAAAACCGAGTTAAAGCATATAACGACGCAAGGAAGACCAGTTGGTCGCAACCGGCCATGCGACCGGCGGTCGTCACTTGTCGGCCAAAGAGTTACGATGGCGAAACATGTCATTCGCGACAAACATCACTGGCACAAAGGGTCAGGGCAGGTTGGTTGGAACACATTTTTCACGGTCAGGTGGGCGCTGAATTGTGGGCGGCTGGCCGTGTCGTATGCGGCGGAGCCTTGCGCCCAAGCCCTTCGGAATCCGGAACACACGGATCCAAGGCCTCGGATCATGGGGCAAACGCACTCGGAACTCCGCCACAACGTCGTAAGAGTCCCTACACCGACTGAGAGGGTGCGACAGGCAGCTGGCACGCGAGGTGACGTATAAGCGGATTCGGAATCCTGTAAAATTGCGTTGAAGTCTTTTCAACCCACCTAAACCTCATTCATACAATCAGGTTACGAACACCAGTGAAATCAAACAAGAGCCCCTTCCAGCTGATGGAATAGCAGTTCACGACGGCACTAGACAAGTCAGCCTGTCGCTGCTTCTTTGGCCACCTTGGCAGGAAACAACACCATCAAGAGTTGCTGGGCTTTGGCCGATCCAGCGTTTGCTAAAGCCCCCAAATGGGGCCTCGGCTTCTCCTTCTGCCGCAAGGACCAGATCTCATCTAAAACTTGCGCACCGCATTGCCCAGCATTTCTGACAATCCCGTGCAGAGTCGAAACAGCATGCTGCTTCGTCACCTCGCTCCCATTTGCAAGCAGCTTGAAAAGCACTTGTAGTCCCGAAACTTCAATGTAGCTCCCATGCCCAATTTGAGGGCAGCCATCAGAGCCAGCAGCACCATCTTCACTAGACCAGTAATTAATTTTGCTGCTTACTAAAGCAGAAAGTCCTGATCGCTCCTCGGATACATTTGCCACTGCATGAATGGCCTTGTCAAAGAATCTTCCTGACTGCTTCGCATACAGATGGCCACTTCTTTGCGTGCCGCACAGTGCCACCTCCAGCAGCAAAGGCACAGCGCCGCGATATGACAGAGCCAACCTCCCAGACTCGCACATTGATAAGAGGTAGAGCGCATACAAGGCGTCCTTCTGTCCCTCCTTGCTGCATGCTGGCTCCCTCAACAGGCCTACCAGCGGCTGCACCACCCACTGATCCACTAAATCTTCTTTCAGCGTTGTTGACTGTGCAAGACTGTGGATAACCGCCACTGCGAGCTCTCGAAGGGGCAGATGCGCGGAGCTGGTGCGGGTGGAGGTGTCGGTCCTGGCGTTACCACCAGAACAGCTGCTGGTGTCATTCTGCTGGGCACTGTTGGGTAAATTATGAGCATTACCACTGGCACCGTCAGGGCAGTCCGGACTGCTGCGTTTGATGTCAGCCAACCTCACAATGGTAGGGATGATGCCATGGCTCCTCATCATGTGCTTGGCGGTCTTATCTAGAGACAGATTCAGCAGCGCGGCAGCTGCCTCCTCGGCAACCTGATACCGCGAATCCATGAACTCCCTTCCTTCCTCCGCTTCTATCACGCTGTCAACAAGCGACAAGAGCACTTTCGCTGCTCCCATTTCAACCATGGGGGCGCATACCGCCGCGTCGCGAGCCATAACTTTAACCTCCCGCGCGCCGGCGAGCTGCCGGGAGAGCACGCACGTTTCCGATTCGCCGGGTTGCGGGGCGGAGTAGCAGTTCCGCAGAGCCTGGGGAAACTGCGGCGGGTATTGGGTGAGCGTCGAACCCGCGGCTTCTGAAGCCCCACGCCCGGAAGGAGCGGCAGATGCGGGAGCAACGCCGGCAAGGTGGCTCCGCTGCGGGTGATACGGAGCAGGATGCGCGGGACTTTTGACTGTCTGGAGAACAGGAGGAACGGAAGCCGCTGATTCCACTGACCGCACCGTCCAAGAAGGTTCCGCGCGGACGGCAGGGTCTGTATGGTATCCTTCCGACGATACACTGGAAGCATCCTCGGAGATTCGTCGCGCGATTCTGTCCTTCCCTGAGCCGTCCTGTTTCCGATGCCGGTGCTTGTGGGAGTGCCGGTGCCTCTCGCTCAGCTGGTCGAATGTGGGAAGGCTGTTCAGTGGGCTGTTGCCAAACAGATGATGCTGTGGTGAAGGACTGTTGGCGAAGAGATGGTGCTGTGGCGAAGGGCTGTTGGCGAAGTTCTGGTGCTGCGACGACATCCACTGCTCCATCGCGGCTCGGTTGACATGCGACGGGTGTCCTGCTGAAGGGTGGAGTGGCGAGGGGCCGACTGACGAAGGGTGGCCTGGCGAAGGCCGGATATGCATCCTATTTAGGTTATCCTCAATCCCCGCGATCCTATTATCCATGGGTTCAAGTGAGTTGGCCCTCATGGCTCGTTGCAACGAGCAGGGCTTGAAAATAGAGAACTGGATAAGTGGAAAAAGGAATTGGGCCTTTTTGACAGCGCTCTTACTCGACCTTGACACTCAAGACGAGATAAGTGCGAAATAGGAAGACAGTCTAGATACGGAACCCTGGGAGGTGGGTAGGTGGGAAATGGGGAGGGGTGAACGCGGCACGATAGGATGGAAACGACGGCAGTGAATCGTGATGCCGAATTTGATGCGTTTGGGCTTTGCTAGCTACTGCGTTGGCTTTGAAACTGAGTATGCTGGAGGGAAATATCAACCATGGAGGTGAGAAAGGTAAGGAAGGAGAAGGGATGGGGGAGGGGACGGCAGAAGCGGAAAAGATCGGGAAAGATGCCGAAGGTGGGGGGAAGGGGGACTTTGTTCGGAAGGATTTCTCTGTTTGGGAAACGTAGCGAAATGCGCGTGGTGAAGTGAGCTGTAGGGGATGAAGATGACGACGGTTTGAGCCGTTCGCTGCACGCGATCGAACGTGAGCGGTTCATGTCGTGGGTCGTGTCGTTACACGCTTGGTGTGATGTGATGGTAGCGAGTGTGATGGAATGTGAACACGCATGACTTTTATGGGAATGGGTGCGATTCAATGGGGAATTGGAACAAAACTATTAGCGATTGTTGTACAAAAACCGTTTACATTTTCTGGGGTTAGTCAATATACAATGTGGAGTCACTCACACCCTATATCGATCCAGGCGCGCCGCCAACACGGGACTCTCGGGGTTGGTTGTGTGACTGATGACCTTCAATCTCAACTAGTCCCAGCAATTCCACATAACTGCTTGTTCTACCTTCCATCTCGACATTTGACTCGGCTTCATCACCTCATACCTTCAACATCGCCTTAGTTGCTATGGATACCACTGCCAGCCACGAGGTGTGTACGCGAAGTACATCCATTACGAATGGATTCTGTATTCTAAATCGTTCATGCCATTCATGCAGCGCGACAATGATGTGGAACCAATGCTGAAGAGGCAAAGAGAAGATTCTTCTCAAAAGACGGACACGCAGGATGATACTGCTGGACAACCAGATTCGCGTGAAGCACGAGATGGAGAGCCTAGTCCTGCAGTGGCGGGAGCTCACAAAAGAATAGAAGAATTCACACAAAAGGTTTTTTTGACTCTCAGCGTTGCTTCGCATTGAAAAGCTCAAGCTGACGCGTTCTTTTTGTTGTCAGCTTTGCGCAATTCTTGATGCTGGGAAACAAGCTCTGTCCGCCGCTCACGCAGCATGGGAGGAGCAGCTCGTTCAGTAAGTCGAGGAATCAGACACTAGATTCTGTTTGGCTGCAGATCCGTCCTATTGTATTCACCATTGTGCGTCGCAGGATTCATGAAAATCAAGTTGCAATTTGGCAACGCCAACTCGAAGAAATCAAGGAATTGGAGTCCATGAATGATGAAATTGGAACAAGGCTCCGGTCGGCACAAGATGTCTTCGACCGTATGCAACCAGCTATTGCGGAAAGACATCTTGAAGAATGAGTGCATCCAGACTGAGTTCGGGAACGGAAAGTCGCAACCCATATATCTATTACAATTTTTATGGTACAGCGCGTGACACTTACATGTCCATCAGCAGACGCACATCATCCATCCGAAGTAGTTGCTGATCTTCAGCGGATCTACGTTCCAAGGCAGCACGTGCAATTGCTCTTTTTCTCTCCTGAAGCACCAGCATTCGTTCTTCTATGCTGTCAGCAGCAACCATTCTCACGACATCGACCAGATTTTCCTGCACATGAAAGCAGCACAGTAGCACAAAATTCAATGTTGACTGTATACGTGTCAGCTTGTCCAAATTTTAAGCATCACAAACCCCCATACTGTACCTGTCCAATGCGATGGACTCGGTCCATTGCTTGTTGCTCCACAGCAGGGTTCCACCAAGGTTCAAGCAGAAACACACGTGATGCAGCTGTAAGGTTCAGACCCACACCTGCCAACGACCAACATCAACAAATGTAGAAGCTAAGACCAAGTGGACTGCAGAAACGGACATACAAAACAATAATCGCTAGGAACATGTGCACTCTCACCTGCTGCTCTGAGCCCCACAAGGAAAACTGTAGGAGAATCGTCATCCACTCGGTTGAACTCTGCAATAGCCTTCTCCCTCACACTTAGCTTGGTGCGGCCATCCAATCTACAGCACTTGAATCCTGCAGCCTGTAACCTCTCATACACCAAATCCAGCATTCGAGTGAACTGAGAAAACACAACACTCTTAACCCTCTGCTGCTGACGCCCATCACCTCCTCCCATTGCACTAGGCCCTGCAATAGCAGCTCCACCCTCTGGAGGTTGGTACCCTGGTGGCACCTGAAGAGGCTCACGGAGAGCAGCAATAAGGGCATCAATCTTGGCACTTGTATTCCCCTCAACCCCTTCCATCAAGCCCCCCTTGGAATGATCCCCATTAGCGCCACTACCCTCTCCTTCTGCAGCATCAGGTGGAGCCTCCACCAGATGAGCCTCATCTACTGGCGCTCTGCACATGGGGCAGGCATGCTTCTGGATGGATAAAACCCGGCGAATGCAGCGGCGGCAGAAGATGTGAGAGCAGGGTGTGATGACAGGAAGAGTGGGAGGAGAGAGGCAGATGGGACAGTCCTCGTCGGCTGCTCCTGCTGCCAGAAGTTCCTGAAGCTTCTGACTCAGAAGGGGATCCAAAGGAACTGCAGCTGAAGAAATGCGGTGAGTTGGGAAGAAGGAAACACAGATTGAAATAAGAATGGCCAAGAAACGAGCATCTCGTACAATTGTCAACATACAAACCCCCAATTCAGAACTCCTCATTATGGTTTATATTCTTGCGCACCTTTTGCATCCTGGTTTCTGTCTGCTTCTTCTGCTGCAGCAGCAGACGCAGCAATGGCCTCAAGAACGTGTGGCGGACAGAGGCCTTTGTGGTCTGCGATCTGTCTGAGCCGTAGGATCATCTCGAGCACTGTAGCATAGTTCTTCATCAACGTACCCTGTGCCATCATGCCACCCACAAGGCGCCGCACCTCCTCCTGCACTCTGGGAGACAACAATGAGGGTGGGTGTAGTGGAGGGGCGAGGTAGCAAAAATATCGAGAGTATGGTGTTAACAGTACAAAGCAACGGGTGAGTGAACGGTGATACATGTGTGCAAGTGATACATGTACAAGTGACTCATGTGCGATCACAAGTGCAGTGACTCGTGTGCAATCACTAGTGAACAGTCACACCAAAGGGCTATCCTCATTGGTCGTGGAAATCTCGATTCTCTGACAGCATGTCGACTGGGAGCACTCACACAGGCTCCAAAAAAACAAACGGTGAACAGTCACTGCCAGCAGCACAGACACCCGTGACCTACACAGCATCCAGCCTAAAAGAAAAGAAAAGAAAAGAAAACGCTCACTGGTCGTAAAGATCCCGATCCTCTGGCAGCAAGTCGATTGGCAGCACTCGTACAGTCTTCGGAGGGAGTGACAGCAGCGGCCGGCCATTCACCTGCATGTCCTTGGTGCGCCTTAGAGCCGTCGTGAGAACCAGTGCCTGTTGGGGTGAGGCAAGAAGGGTGGGAGTAAAAAAGGTGGCCTCTGGAAGATGGATGCGCGCGCGCACACACACACACACAACCCAGCCAACCTCTAACCGCACACGAACACCCCCATGCCTCCACTCGAGCATACCCTCAATCTGTCCAGCCCAATGTGCTGGCGCTCCCTCATTGGCCGCTCGATCGCGCGGGTCCAGATCAAACGATCATTAAGAGGATCAAGGCGCAGGAAGCAGAGCAGCGAGAAGAGATCCCCCAGCTGGTTCTGCACCGGAGTGCCCGTCACTGCCCACCGCCTCTCCGCCTGCAGTGCTGTCGCCGCCCGCGCAGCCCGCGTCCGCACGGATTTGATCACGTGCGCTTCGTCTAGAATCACCCGCCTCCATTTCACCTGCATCAATGGCCCTCCACCTGCTGTCTCTGCTCCCGCTCCTCCTGCTGTTGAAGCTCCTGCAGTGCTCCTACTACTGCTCCCTGCTCCTCCCGCCGTCCCTGCCATCCCCCCTCGCTTCCTCTGCCCTTGCGCTGCGGCCCCTGGCGCCTTCCTCTTCCTTCCCCGCGCCCCTGGCATGCCCGCATAAGCCGGCATGAGCATTCCTGGGCACCCCGGAATGGAAGGCGGGGAGGGCGGCGGACTGTCAGCATACTGTGCCTCTGCCATTCCCCTTGCCCCGCCCCTACCAGCACCAGCAGAAGAACCACCAGCAGCACCAGCAGCAGCACCACCAGCAGCTGCAGCAGCAGTGGAGGCAGAGGAAGGGGGGCACTCAGAAGCGAGGATGTTGTAGGTGGTAAAGACAAGGTCAAAGCCAGAGAGGAAGCTCGGGTCTCTCACACGCTCTGCCCCGTGGTACACATAGTAGCTCAGCGCTCCTGGTGCCACGTGCTCTGCCAGCTGTGCCGTCCAGTTGGAGAGAACGGACAGAGGGCACACCACTAGCGTCGCCCTGCTCTGCTCCCCTTGCACCCCATCAGCAGCACCAGTGGAGGAGGTGCCGATAGCTTGTGTTTCACCAGCGTCAGCAGCAGCAGCAGAGGTTGAAGCGACAAGGGAGAGCAGGGAGAGCGTTTTCCCCAGCCCCATGTCATCAGCCAGAATGCCTCCCCTCAGCGCCTTAGGCCTCTCCTCTGTCGTGAAGTTGGTGAGAATGTTGGTGAACACTCGCCCCCCGCCCTCCCCCCCATCATCTCCATCGTCCTCCTCCCCATCTCCCCCTCCCGCTCCTCCCTCCACCCCTCCTGCACCCCCTCCCTGTACCTCACTTCCTCTTCCCCGGCCTCCCCTGCCCTGTCTCCCGGCCCCCCTCCCTCCTCCTCCTCTCCCTCCTCTCTTCCCTTTGCTGCTGCTCCCAGATTCTAAGGCCCCGGCTTTCCAAAACGGTGGAAGCTTCTTCGCGCTTTCCCGCTTGATCATCCACGCCAGCGCCCGTTGCTGATGTGGCAGGAGGGACGACCTGATGACGTGGCAAGGCGGATCCGCGGTGGGCCGATCCGCTTCCACCTGGCATGCCAGGTCATCAAACATGGATAAGACCGCCTTGTCCTGTTCTGCTTGGCTCATCGCGGCTCGTCGCGCTGCCAAAGCAGCAGCCACTGACGCAGCAGCCGAAGCAGCCTGTAACGAACCAGAGGGGGAAGCTTCCCCGAAAGTGTCAGAACCAGGGAGGCTGTTGGTTTCCACCAGAGCCACTCTGGCAGAGAGCAGGCGGGATGCAGCCTCAGGAGCTGATTCAGGAGAGCAGAAGAGGCACACGTGGCACGGCATTTGGTAAATGTTCTTTGTCCCACGCGTCACCAGACCTTCGATTGCGACCAATCCCGCGTCGACAAGCGGCGCCAGGTGGCAGGCCATTTTGGCCTCCACGTGGCCCACCTTCTGCCCTCTGATGTTGTCCACGCGAATGGCGTTGCGGTCGTACGCGTTATTGGGCTCCCGAATGAGCCGAACCATCTGGACGTTGGGTTGATCATGGGTTTCAATCATGCCATAAAACCATCTTATGCCACAGGGATGGATGGAACAGAAGTATGAAAGCGGAAGCGCATGTAATGAGAAAAGCGGGACTGGCAGGTTCACGTTCCCCGGGTAGCATTGCAGGCCTTTGATGATCACAAGCAGACAACTAGTATGTATATAAAGATGACCTACACTCATGCCGAAACGAACCTCTCGCGGATTCACGGTTCCCGGGTAGTATTGCAGGCCCTTGATGTTGACGAGCACGCTTCCAATGTACGTCCTGTCGTCCTCCCCTTGCGACGCGCCTTGTTGCGACGCGTCGACAACCTCCTCCTCCTCCCAGTCCTCCTCCATCCGCGCGAACCACGACGAGGACGAGGATAATCGCGAGGTTACCAGACCGCACGCAGATACAAGGGCCAGCGACAAGACTATTCTGGTCAAGCGAATTCGTGGAAGCCCCAAGCACCTCCCAACCAGTGCGTTCGGTGGTGGAAGGGTGGAAGATAAGTGGAATTCGTGAATTTCTGGAGACAGGAAAGGTTGAGCTGTCCTCTTTATAATTCTTCACTGAAACCTAGGTGGTTTGCCACCGTACCAGACCGTTCCGTGTTTTAAACACACCAGCTATTACCCGCGAAAGTCCAACCGCTCGATAAGGAATACTATTCCATGTGAATTGGGCACATCAGATTTACTACAAATATGTTTGCATAGTAATAAATGATACAGATATGAACCTAACTCCAATAAAGCCAAAGACCAGCATTGTAGAAACATGGATCTAAGCACTGCTTACCTAGAAAGGAATTCGGTTAGCAAAACAGAGATCTAGTGGCAAGTGCTCCAATGTTTCAGCTAGAATCACTTCTGAGATTAACCAAAAGCACCAGGTACAGGAAGTTGGGTTAGCATACAAAGAGAGTCTACTCAGCAATTGCTCCGAAGCCCGAGCGGCCGCGCGATCGCGAGGTGGTGTTAGTGCGAGAGTTAATGCTGGCGCAGCGCAGAAGCTTCTGAAACTCGGGCAAGCTGATTCGCCCATCCCCGTCAACATCCCCCTCGTCTATCAATCGCCCCAGCGACCCCTTCACTTGCGCCGCCTGTTTGCAAGCAGAGGGGAAAGGGAGGAAGAAAGAGGAGAGGGGGGAAGAGAGAGGGGAGGGGGAAAAAGGGAGTCAGCAAGCTGATGCGACCCTTCCCATCCACATTGATGCGTGTATCAATCGCCCCAGCGACCCCTTCATCTGCGCCGCCTGCTTGCAAGCAGAGGGAGAAGGGAGGGAGGAGACGAAAAGGTACATTATTGGAACGGTTAAAGAATGTTCATCATCCCGTCCTCCTCCTCGTCCACTAATCGCGCCCACAACCCCGTTATTGTGCCGCCTGTAGGAAGAAACACCTTCCACTATCCTCACCAATCAGACCCATCTTAACCGCACACGACCACCCCCGACCCTTTGCAACACCATCTCACCACTCTCAGCTCCTCCGCGTCGATGAAGCCATCTCCATCCGTGTCGAAGTGGTTGAATGCTGCCTTGGAGCGCTCCTCCCACTTGGCTGAATCAGCCTCCTCCAGCTGCTGCACGTGCAGCGTGGCCGCCACAAACTCGTCAAAATCAATGATGCCGTCACAGTTGGTGTCCATCTGCGTGGGTGGAGGGGCAGGAGGCGTGGGAATGAGGGGTGAGAGTTGCGCCTCAAGAATCAGCCTCCTCCAGCTGCTGCACGTGCAGCGTGGCCGCCACAAACTCATCGAAATCGACGATTCCAATCCATCACAGTTGGTGTCGATCTGCATGCAGCAAGGGGTTGGGAAGGAGCGTGAGGTTGGGAAAGGATGGAATGGAATGAGGGGCGAAAGTTGTGCCTCAATGGGTCAGCCTCCTCCAGCTGCTGACGCATAAGATGTGAGGAACAACAGGAGGCACACTTCTCCTACTTGGCCAAATCGGCCTCCTCCAGCTGCTGCACGTGCAGCGTGGCCGATACAAACTCTTCAAATAGAGTCGACGCAGTGTGTGATGCCATAACAGATTCAAGGCAAGGATTGTGATCGTTGTTGCTGTATTGGCTTCTCAAAGGCCAACAAGGCCTGCGCCCTTGGCTTCTCAAAGGCCAACGAGGGGGCGCGAAGAAAGTGCACGCGCCAGCAGCATGCCAGGGCATCCTGCTGGCAGTGGAGTGCACAGGCGTTATGAGTGAGCACAGGCGTGATGAGTGAGCGCAGGCGTTATGAGTGAGCGCAGGCGTGATGAGTGAGCGCAGGCGTGATGAGTGAGCGCAGGCGTTATGAGTGAGCGCAGGCGTTATGAGTGAGCACAGGCGTTATGAGTGAGCGCAGGCGTTATGAGTGAGCGCAGGCGTTATGAGTGAGCGCAGGCATTATGAGTGAGCGCAGGCATTATGAGTGAGCACAGGCATTATGAGTGAGCACAGGCGTGGTGTCCTTGCAGGCAGAGTGGACTCACAGCTTGCAGGATCTGCACCACTTCGGACTCCTTCACTTCATACGGGAGGTCCTTGTTGAGCGCCTGGCGCATGCAAGGGCAAGCTGAAACGGCAGAGGCCAGCGTGCAAGGTGAACATGCAAGTGCTGCTGGCAGTGTGGAGTGGACTCACCGCTTGCAAGATCTGCACCACTTTGGTCTCCTTCACTTCGTACGGCAGGTCCTTGTTGAGCGCCTGGCGCATGGGAAACAGGAACACACCGGGAGGGGGGATGAGAAGGCAAATGACAGGAGGAGAATTCAGGGGATTGGTGAGGAGGCAGCACTCAGAAGCAAATACGTTGAGCTAAGACAGCACTCAGCTGATTTCAGCGCGCGTGAGGGTGTGGTGTGCTAGTAGTGACACCGAGCTCACATGTCGGATTTCATCAATGGTGATGGTGCCCATCCCTGTTGGTTCACGTCCATGGAGGTGCCCCAAATATCCCATCTCTAGACATGCCAGCAAGCAGCTCACATGTCATAGGTGACTTTTGAGTCGACTCAAAAGTCACCTGGTTCACGTCCATGGAGGTGCCCCAAATAGCCCATCTCTAGACATGCCAACAAGCAGCTCACATGTCGGATCACGTTGTTGATGATGGTGATGCTGCCATCCCAGCTGACGCTTTTCGAGGCGCTCACAAGGTGTGCTAGCAAGGAGCTCACATGTCATCTCTTGACATGCTAGCACGGACTCACATGTCGGATTTCATTGATGGTGATGGGGCTGTCCCCATTGATGTCTTTTGAGGCGCTAACAAGCTGTGCTATTGGGTGCTCATGCCGTCTCTTGTCATGCCAGCAAGCAGCTCACATGTCGGATTTCATCGATGGTGATGGTGCCGTCCCCATTGATGTCCATTGCGTTGAACTGGTCCCTCAGCTGCTGCACCTCCGTGCTCTCCAAAGTGGTCGCTAGCGCCTGGTGAAAAGGAGGAGGAAAGGCAATGAGGACAAGTTGGGACACGAGCAGCATTGGAGCAAACAAGCATTGTTGAGCTGGTCCCTTGGACGCGAGTACTAACAAACTCTGCGCACATTGCACAGGAGATCGCTCTATCAACCAGCACAGCACACCAGCTGTGTGGCACTGTGGAATTACAGCAAGCAGTAAACCCACATTGAGCGTCATCTGCTTGAGGCACGAGTACTTGACGAACTCGCGGATGTTGGACAGCACTGCTATGTCCAGCGGGATGGACGATGGGACATGGGGGGGATGGCACCACTCACCTTCACCACCACCACACTTGCGTGCGTGCATGTGGTGCGTGCTTGCTGTGCGTGCTTGCTGTGCGTGCTTGCTGTGCGTGCTTGCTGTGCGTGCTTGCTGTGCGTGCTTGCTGTGCGTGCTTGCTGTGCGTGCTTGCTGTGCGTGCTTGCTGTGCGTGCGTGCTTGCTGTGCGTGCTTGCTGTGCGTGCTTGCTGTGCGTGCTTGCTGTGCGTGCTTGCTGTGCGTGCTTGCTGTGCGTGCTTGCTGTGCGTGCTTGCTGTGCGTGCTTGCTGTGCGTGCTTGCTTGCTGTGCGTGCTTGCTGTGTGTGCTTGCTGTGCGTGCTTGCTGTGCGTGCTGTGCGTGCTTGCTGTGCGTGCTTGCTGTGCGTGCTTGCTGTGCTTGCTTGCTGTGCGTGCTTGCTGTGCGTGCTTGCTGTGCGTGCTTGCTGTGCGTGCTTGCTGTGCTTGCTTGCTCTCACCTTGAGCGCCATCTGCTTGAGGCGTGAGTACTTGACAAACTCCCGCATGTTGGACAGCACTGCTATGTCCAGCGGGATGGACGACGCATTGCCTCCCTCCTTCACCCATGGGTGAGCTGGTGGTGGGGTGGTGGGGAGGGGGGAAATAGGTGTGTGAACGGCCAAGAGGGGAAGAAAAGCTGATAGATGACAGCACGGCTATGTCAAGCGGGATGGATGACGCGTTGCCTCCCTCCTTCACCCATGGGTGCGCTGGTTGTGGGGTGGAGGGGAGGGGTGAAGGGGAGGGGAGGGGAGGGGAGGGGAGGGAGAAAGGTGGGAACGGGCAACATAGGAAGGAATGCGGGGAGATGACACACTGCTGTGGCCAACGGGCATGTTGGATATCACTGCACTGTACGCCCACCCACAATGCACGTCTCAAAGGCCGCGCGTTGACTCACACAGGGCTTGTGCAGCGGTGGGGCGAGCACGGGGGTCCTTCTTGAGCAGCTTCTTGACAAATTCCTTGGCGCCGGCTGGATGAGATCTGTACAGCATTGACTCACACATGGCTACTAGGCAGGGAGGGCGTTGACTTGACTCACACAGGGCTTGTGCAGCGGTGGGGCGAGCACGGGGGTCCTTCTTGAGCAGCTTCTTGACAAAGTCCTTGGCGCTGGTGGAGATCTGCGGCCATGGCTTCTCCCTGAAGTCGGGTTTCTTCTTCAGCACCTGGTGGGATGGGGAGAGTGAGAAACACGGATTATCCACTGCCACTCTCAACCTCTCTCTACCCCTCTCCCAGGGAAAGCAGCTGAGATCCTGCGGCCACGGTTTCCCCCTGAAGTCCGAGATCATCTTGAGCACCTGGAGGATTAGCATGGGACAGAGGGGCACAACAGGGTAAATGCAGAGTGAGTAGCTGGTTTTTGAGAATTCTCAAAAACCATGCAGAGAGAATAGAGTGAACAACATATCTGCGGCCATGGCTTCTCCCTGAAGTCCGGCTTCTTCTTTAGCTACTGGTGGGATCGCATGGGACAGAGGGGAGGTGAATAAAGAGTGAATAGAGAGGGAATAAAGAGTGCATAGAGAGTGAATAGAAAGTGAATAGAGGGATAACTAAAGTGATAACAGGGACAACGTTTACCTTTCCTGTGACCCTACGCTCCCATTTCTTCTGAGTCGACTCAAAATGTGACCCTACGCTCCCATTTCTTCTCCACCCCAATGCACCGATGCTCCTTTGCCACTCTCAACCGCCCTCTGCCCCATCTATTCCCCCTCTGTTTTATCCCAGAAAGGTCGTTTACCAGACAGCAAGGTGTACGTAATGATGCCAATGCTCCACACGTCACTCTCACTCTTATCCCTCTCTCTTCCCCCCCCATCTGCCTCTCCCTCACTTCAACCCCCCTACTTCCCCGCACCTCATTGAAAATGCCGGCCTCTGTTTTATCCCAGAACGGTCGTCTGCCAGACAGCAAGATATACGTGATGACCCCGATGCTCCACACGTCACTCTCCGGCCCCGACCGCCTCTTGAGGACCTCGGGAGCCACGTAATAGGCGCTGCCCACCACGTCCGTGAAGTGCTTGCCTGGGGTTGAGAGGGGTGGGGTCGTGTGGGGAGGAGTGGGGTTGGCGTGAGCAGGGAAGACCTCCTCTTGATCGCCTCTTGAGCACCTCAGGAGCCACGTAGTAGGCGCTGCCCACCACGTCCGTGAAGTGCTTGCCTGGGGAAGAGAGGATGGTGAAGTGCGGTGGAGTGAGGTAGAGGGGGGTGAAATGGGGTGGGGTGAGGTTGGTGTGAGCAGGACAGACCTCCCGTTGATCACCTCTTGGAGCCACATAGTAGGTGCTGCCCACCACAACCGTGAAGTGCTTGCCTGGGGTTGAGTGCGGTGGGGTGGGATAGAGAGGGGTGAAATGGGATGGGGGGGCTGAGTCAACTAAATCACCCTCTCGCCTTCTCGGCCCCTCTTTATTCCCCCGTCCTTGCACCTCCCCCACCCCTCCCCCGCCCGGGCGCGCCACTCACCTGGTTTTCTCAAGTCCGAGAGGCCAAAGTCGGTGGCCTCAAGAGGCGATTCCTCCGATTTTGAGTCAACTAAAACATCTCCCCTCGCATCCCCCAGATCCCCAGGTGGGCGGGCCCCTCTTTATCCCCCGCCCTCGCACTCCCCCCACCCCCCCAGGTGTGCCACTCACCCGGCTTTCTTAAGTCCGAGAGGCCAAAGTCGGTGGCCTTGAGAGGCGAGTCCTTTGAGTTGACTCCAAACCAGAGCTATCTCCGCTTCCCTTCCCATCCCATCCCACCTATCGCCGCTCCCCTTCCCATCCCATCCTACCTGGCTTTCTGAAGTCCGAGAGGCCAAAGTCGGTGGCCTTGAGAGGTGATTCCTCCGTCTTGTTGGCGAACAGAAAGTTCTGCGCAACACAGATGGGTGGAGAGGGGTGCGAAGGGATGACTGAAGGTGGGAGTGATGCAGAGGAGATCAACCCTAGATCGACACCTATCTCACATCTGCCTGGAGTGGAGACCTTTCTCGCTCCTGGCTTGCCACCCATAGGCTATCGCACCTCGGGCTTGCCACCCATAGGCTATCGCACCTGAGGTACCTCTCAGCCGTCTCCCCCCAGGCTTCAGGCCAATGCACCTCGGGTTGAGGTCACCTCGGGCTTGCCACCCATAAGCTATCGCACCTCGGGCTTGCCACCCATAGGCAATCGCACCTCAGGCTTGAGGTCGCGGTGCACGACGCCGTTGAGGTGGCAGCGGGCCACCCCTGCCCTGAAACCTACCTGTCTAACCCCTGGCTTCAAATGCATACCACCTCGGGGTCAGGGCAAAATAGCTTGAAACAGCTCTCACCTCAGGCTTGAGGTCGCGGTGCACGACGCCGTTGAGGTGGCAGCTATCCCACCCCTGCCTTGACATCGGCCTGTCTAGCCCCTGGCTTGAGATAGACCTAACTTCGAGCTCGAAAGCAATCCCACCTCGGACTTGAGGTCACAATGATCGCACCTCGGACTTGAGGTCACAATGATCGCACCTCGGACTTGAGGTCACAATGATCGCACCTCGGACTTGAGGTCACAATAGTCGCACCTCGGACTTGAGGTCACAATGATCGCACCTCGGACTTGAGGTCACAATGATCGCACCTCGGACTTGAGGTCACAATGATCGCACCTCGGACTTGAGGTCACAATGATCGCACCTCGGACTTGAGGTCACAATAATCGCACCTCGGACTTGAGGTCACAATGATCGCACCTCGGACTTGAGGTCACAATAATCGCACCTCGGACTTGAGGTCACAATAATCGCACCTCGGACTTGAGGTCACAATGATCGCACCTCGGACTTGAGGTCACAATAATCGCACCTCGGACTTGAGGTCACAATGATCGCACCTCGGACTTGAGGTCACAATGATCGCACCTCGGACTTGAGGTCACAATGATCGCACCTCGGACTTGAGGTCACAATAATCGCACCTCGGACTTGAGGTCACAATAATCGCACCTCGGACTTGAGGTCACAATGATCGCACCTCGGACTTGAGGTCACAATGATCGCACCTCGGACTTGAGGTCACAATGATCGCACCTCGGACTTGAGGTCACAATGATCGCACCTCGGACTTGAGGTCACAATAATCGCACCTCGGACTTGAGGTCACAATAATCGCACCTCGGACTTGAGGTCACAATTATCGCACCTCGGACTTGAGGTCACAATGATCGCACCTCGGACTTGAGGTCACAATGATCGCACCTCGGACTTGAGGTCACAATAATCGCACCTCGGACTTGAGGTCACAATGATCGCACCTCGGACTTGAGGTCACAATGATCGCACCTCAGACTTGAGGTCACAATGATCGCACCTCGGACTTGAGGTCACAATGATCGCACCTCGGACTTGAGGTCACAATGATCGCACCTCGGACTTGAGGTCACAATGATCGCACCTCGGACTTGAGGTCACAATAATCGCACCTCGGACTTGAGGTCACAATGATCGCACCTCGGACTTGAGGTCACAATGATCGCACCTCGGACTTGAGGTCACAATAATCGCACCTCGGACTTGAGGTCACAATAATCGCACCTCGGACTTGAGGTCACAATGATCGCACCTCGGACTTGAGGTCACAATAATCGCACCTCGGACTTGAGGTCACAATAATCGCACCTCGGACTTGAGGTCACAATGATCGCACCTCGGACTTGAGGTCACAATGATCGCACCTCGGACTTGAGGTCACAATGATCGCACCTCGGACTTGAGGTCACAATAATCGCACCTCGGACTTGAGGTCACAATGATCGCACCTCGGACTTGAGGTCACAATAATCGCACCTCGGACTTGAGGTCACAATAATCGCACCTCGGACTTGAGGTCACAATGATCGCACCTCGGACTTGAGGTCACAATGATCGCACCTCGGACTTGAGGTCACAATGATCGCACCTCGGACTTGAGGTCACAATAATCGCACCTCGGACTTGAGGTCACAATAATCGCACCTCGGACTTGAGGTCACAATGATCGCACCTCGGACTTGAGGTCACAATGATCGCACCTCGGACTTGAGGTCACAATGATCGCACCTCGGACTTGAGGTCACAATAATCGCACCTCGGACTTGAGGTCACAATGATCGCACCTCGGACTTGAGGTCACAATGATCGCACCTCGGACTTGAGGTCACAATGATCGCAACTCGGACTTGAGGTCACAATAATCGCACCTCGGACTTGAGGTCACAATAATCGCACCTCGGACTTGAGGTCACAATGATCGCACCTCGGACTTGAGGTCACAATGATCGCACCTCGGACTTGAGGTCACAATGATCGCACCTCGGACTTGAGGTCACAATGATCGCACCTCGGACTTGAGGTCACAATAATCGCACCTCGGACTTGAGGTCACAATAATCGCACCTCGGACTTGAGGTCACAATTATCGCACCTCGGACTTGAGGTCACAATGATCGCACCTCGGACTTGAGGTCACAATGATCGCACCTCGGACTTGAGGTCACAATGATCGCACCTCGGACTTGAGGTCACAATAATCGCACCTCGGACTTGAGGTCACAATAATCGCACCTCGGACTTGAGGTCACAATTATCGCACCTCGGACTTGAGGTCACAATGATCGCACCTCGGACTTGAGGTCACAATGATCGCACCTCGGACTTGAGGTCACAATAATCGCACCTCGGACTTGAGGTCACAATGATCGCACCTCGGACTTGAGGTCACAATGATCGCACCTCAGACTTGAGGTCACAATGATCGCACCTCGGACTTGAGGTCACAATGATCGCACCTCGGACTTGAGGTCACAATGATCGCACCTCGGACTTGAGGTCACAATGATCGCACCTCGGACTTGAGGTCACAATAATCGCACCTCGGACTTGAGGTCACAATGATCGCACCTCGGACTTGAGGTCACAATGATCGCACCTCGGACTTGAGGTCACAATAATCGCACCTCGGACTTGAGGTCACAATAATCGCACCTCGGACTTGAGGTCACAATGATCGCACCTCGGACTTGAGGTCACAATAATCGCACCTCGGACTTGAGGTCACAATAATCGCACCTCGGACTTGAGGTCACAATGATCGCACCTCGGACTTGAGGTCACAATGATCGCACCTCGGACTTGAGGTCACAATGATCGCACCTCGGACTTGAGGTCACAATAATCGCACCTCGGACTTGAGGTCACAATGATCGCACCTCGGACTTGAGGTCACAATAATCGCACCTCGGACTTGAGGTCACAATAATCGCACCTCGGACTTGAGGTCACAATGATCGCACCTCGGACTTGAGGTCACAATGATCGCACCTCGGACTTGAGGTCACAATGATCGCACCTCGGACTTGAGGTCACAATGATCGCACCTCGGACTTGAGGTCACAATAATCGCACCTCGGACTTGAGGTCACAATAATCGCACCTCGGACTTGAGGTCACAATTATCGCACCTCGGACTTGAGGTCACAATGATCGCACCTCGGACTTGAGGTCACAATGATCGCACCTCGGACTTGAGGTCACAATAATCGCACCTCGGACTTGAGGTCACAATGATCGCACCTCGGACTTGAGGTCACAATGATCGCACCTCAGACTTGAGGTCACAATGATCGCACCTCGGACTTGAGGTCACAATGATCGCACCTCGGACTTGAGGTCACAATGATCGCACCTCGGACTTGAGGTCACAATGATCGCACCTCGGACTTGAGGTCACAATAATCGCACCTCGGACTTGAGGTCACAATGATCGCACCTCGGACTTGAGGTCACAATGATCGCACCTCGGACTTGAGGTCACAATAATCGCACCTCGGACTTGAGGTCACAATAATCGCACCTCGGACTTGAGGTCACAATGATCGCACCTCGGACTTGAGGTCACAATAATCGCACCTCGGACTTGAGGTCACAATAATCGCACCTCGGACTTGAGGTCACAATGATCGCACCTCGGACTTGAGGTCACAATGATCGCACCTCGGACTTGAGGTCACAATGATCGCACCTCGGACTTGAGGTCACAATAATCGCACCTCGGACTTGAGGTCACAATGATCGCACCTCGGACTTGAGGTCACAATAATCGCACCTCGGACTTGAGGTCACAATAATCGCACCTCGGACTTGAGGTCACAATGATCGCACCTCGGACTTGAGGTCACAATGATCGCACCTCGGACTTGAGGTCACAATGATCGCACCTCGGACTTGAGGTCACAATAATCGCACCTCGGACTTGAGGTCACAATAATCGCACCTCGGACTTGAGGTCACAATGATCGCACCTCGGACTTGAGGTCACAATGATCGCACCTCGGACTTGAGGTCACAATGATCGCACCTCGGACTTGAGGTCACAATAATCGCACCTCGGACTTGAGGTCACAATGATCGCACCTCGGACTTGAGGTCACAATGATCGCACCTCGGACTTGAGGTCACAATGATCGCAACTCGGACTTGAGGTCACAATAATCGCACCTCGGACTTGAGGTCACAATAATCGCACCTCGGACTTGAGGTCACAATGATCGCACCTCGGACTTGAGGTCACAATGATCGCACCTCGGACTTGAGGTCACAATGATCGCACCTCGGACTTGAGGTCACAATGATCGCACCTCGGACTTGAGGTCACAATAATCGCACCTCGGACTTGAGGTCACAATAATCGCACCTCGGACTTGAGGTCACAATTATCGCACCTCGGACTTGAGGTCACAATGATCGCACCTCGGACTTGAGGTCACAATGATCGCACCTCGGACTTGAGGTCACAATGATCGCACCTCGGACTTGAGGTCACAATAATCGCACCTCGGACTTGAGGTCACAATAATCGCACCTCGGACTTGAGGTCACAATTATCGCACCTCGGACTTGAGGTCACAATGATCGCACCTCGGACTTGAGGTCACAATGATCGCACCTCGGACTTGAGGTCACAATAATCGCACCTCGGACTTGAGGTCACAATGATCGCACCTCGGACTTGAGGTCACAATGATCGCACCTCAGACTTGAGGTCACAATGATCGCACCTCGGACTTGAGGTCACAATGATCGCACCTCGGACTTGAGGTCACAATGATCGCACCTCGGACTTGAGGTCACAATGATCGCACCTCGGACTTGAGGTCACAATAATCGCACCTCGGACTTGAGGTCACAATGATCGCACCTCGGACTTGAGGTCACAATGATCGCACCTCGGACTTGAGGTCACAATAATCGCACCTCGGACTTGAGGTCACAATAATCGCACCTCGGACTTGAGGTCACAATGATCGCACCTCGGACTTGAGGTCACAATAATCGCACCTCGGACTTGAGGTCACAATAATCGCACCTCGGACTTGAGGTCACAATGATCGCACCTCGGACTTGAGGTCACAATGATCGCACCTCGGACTTGAGGTCACAATGATCGCACCTCGGACTTGAGGTCACAATAATCGCACCTCGGACTTGAGGTCACAATGATCGCACCTCGGACTTGAGGTCACAATAATCGCACCTCGGACTTGAGGTCACAATAATCGCACCTCGGACTTGAGGTCACAATGATCGCACCTCGGACTTGAGGTCACAATGATCGCACCTCGGACTTGAGGTCACAATGATCGCACCTCGGACTTGAGGTCACAATAATCGCACCTCGGACTTGAGGTCACAATAATCGCACCTCGGACTTGAGGTCACAATGATCGCACCTCGGACTTGAGGTCACAATGATCGCACCTCGGACTTGAGGTCACAATGATCGCACCTCGGACTTGAGGTCACAATAATCGCACCTCGGACTTGAGGTCACAATGATCGCACCTCGGACTTGAGGTCACAATGATCGCACCTCGGACTTGAGGTCACAATGATCGCAACTCGGACTTGAGGTCACAATAATCGCACCTCGGACTTGAGGTCACAATAATCGCACCTCGGACTTGAGGTCACAATGATCGCACCTCGGACTTGAGGTCACAATGATCGCACCTCGGACTTGAGGTCACAATGATCGCACCTCGGACTTGAGGTCACAATGATCGCACCTCGGACTTGAGGTCACAATAATCGCACCTCGGACTTGAGGTCACAATAATCGCACCTCGGACTTGAGGTCACAATTATCGCACCTCGGACTTGAGGTCACAATGATCGCACCTCGGACTTGAGGTCACAATGATCGCACCTCGGACTTGAGGTCACAATGATCGCACCTCGGACTTGAGGTCACAATAATCGCACCTCGGACTTGAGGTCACAATAGTCGCACCTCGGACTTGAGGTCACAATGATCGCACCTCGGACTTGAGGTCACAATGATCGCACCTCGGACTTGAGGTCACAATAATCGCACCTCGGACTTGAGGTCACAATGATCGCACCTCGGACTTGAGGTCACAATGATCGCACCTCGGACTTGAGGTCACAATGATCGCACCTCGGACTTGAGGTCACAATGATCGCACCTCGGACTTGAGGTCACAATGATCGCACCTCGGACTTGAGGTCACAATGATCGCACCTCGGACTTGAGGTCACAATGATCGCACCTCGGGCTTGAGGTCGCGGTGCACGACGCCGTTCAGGTGACAGCGCGCCACCACGTTGAGCATCTGCCTCACCACACTCGCAGCGTCCTTCTCCGAGTACCGGTTGTCCTTCCTGCCATGGTGGGAGGGCGGGCAGAGGAACAGGCAGAGAGACAGGCAAATGGACGGACGGGCCGAAAGACAGGCAGGCACACGCGCTCTTGTCGTTAGTGTCTCGTTGAGCATCTGCCTCACCCTTCTTCGAATTCCGGTTGTCCTTCCTGTCATGGTGGGTGGTCGGGCGAGCAAGCCGACAGGCGGGTAGGCAGGCAGGCGGACGGACGGACGCATTTGATAAGCACGCATTCGTTGTGCACGCAATTGTTTACAACAGACGGACAGACGGGTTTCCTTGGATGGCATTGGCACTCTCCCCTCACTAGCCATCATCCTCACTCACCCTCCCCAGTCCTCGCCCACTCGCCCCCACTCCAACCCCTCAATCACCCCCCCTTCCCCCTCACTCACGCACCCTCACCATCTCACTCGCCCCCACCCTCCCTCACTCACCACCACCCTCACGGACCAACACCCTCACTCACTTGCCCAGAATCCTGTCAAGCAGCTCTCCTCCTTCACATAACCTGTGTGAGGTGGACGGACAAAAGGAAAGAACAAGAACATGAGAAGATGACAGAAGGACAGAACGACAGCATGACAGCATGACAGAACGACAGCATGACAGCATGACAGCATGACAGCATGACAGCATGACAGCATGACAGCATGACAGCATGACAGCATGATAGCATGACAGCATGACAGCATGACATCATGACAGCATGACAGCATGACAGCATGACAGCATGACAGCATGACAGCATGACAGCATGACAGCATGACAGCATGACAGCATGATAGCATGACAGCATGACAGCATGACATCATGACAGCATGACAGCATGACAGCATGACAGCATGACAAGTGATGCGTGAGGACAGATTGGCATACGCGCTCCGTTCATTCACAGACACAAGTAATCCGAACCACATGGGGACGGCCAAAAACCCTTCATTGCCACCCTTAGCTGATCAAGTGCGCACTTAGTACCCGCTATAGCGCACTCACTCCATGGCAATGTACACGAGTTCCGTGTCTTCAAAGACGTCGATAAACTGAACCACGTTGGGATGGCCCGACAACAGCTGCAGGATCTTCACCTCCCGCTCCACATCCTCCACCGCTATTGGCTGCTTCATCTGCAGCGCGCCGCGCGAGGGTAGACGGGCAGTAGCGAGAGTATACGGGCAGAAACAACAGTTCACTGACAGAAACAAGAGTACACGGGCATTATTTCTAGCACCGCGATGGCGGGTCAGCAATCCGCAGAAGGAAAAAGAAAAGATGCAGAAGCAAAACATTAATAAGAGCCAGAAGCGTCTACAACCCAAAACTGAAGGTAGTAAGACTGAAATGTGATACAAAACCAGTCACTGTATAACGGACTGCTTATTAGGCCATGTATGCTTTCGTCAGGTCGTCGTAACGAGCAGGAAAAAACGCATCGTCCTTACCTTCGTACAGCAGGCATTGACCTGATTGTACGTACCCTTCTCAAAAACTCTTCGTACAGCAGGCATTGACCTGTTTGTACGTACCCTTCTCAAACACTCTTCGTACAGCAGGCATTGACCTGTTTGTACGTTCCTAAGATGCTCACCGATTTCTTTTGAATTGCCTTGACGGCCACGCGATTATCCGTCGCTAGTTGTATCGACTCATAAGTTGTCCCGAATTGCCCGTGTCCCAGCTCCTTCCCGGTCTTATAATGCTTCTCGAAGTCGCGCTTATAACCGAAGTCGGTCCGGAGGCCTATTGGAATGCTCTTATCATCTTTGGGGTACTTAGCGTTTTGTATCTTCGCCCCGTCGCAGTTATCGTCTCCGGTTCGACTACCGCCAACGACAGGATTCTTCTGAACCTTGCTTTCGTCGACATTTCCTTTATCCTTTTCGACCGACGCAGAGCCGAGACACGTTGAGAGGCACGCTCCCATGTTTAAGCGTGGCTTGCTTACTGAAATAAATACGGTCAAATGTGAACGAATCAATATCTGCTTTGAATACCGCTAAGTTTTCAGCACCCACAGTTGATAACCTACACCACTTTATCACGGCTATGTTTGAGTAATCACGTATACCAAGACGCGGACCGCATCGATGCCCTGACCAACACCTATCTATCCAAGAGTGGCTGATTGCTGCTGTTGCAATGCCTTGGGAGTGTGCCGTGCTGGTGAAGGTAGTGCATGTATAGAGAGTGGTTCTAGACGTGACAGAGCAAAGATACCACCTCCTAACGCACTGAACCGCAGCATTATCTACATTTCGTAGGCAGACTCGGCATTTCCGTAAGTGCACTGGTCAAACGGTTTCTATCCGACACCCCATTTCGATGATAAGGGGCACTAGCGGGGACACGTGGAAGTTCTGCCAGCCACGCTAGGTAACTCGCAGTGGTGTCGTCGAAGTGTCGCCACTCGGCATTCCGGAGCTGCCCGCAAAAGTACCGTCGATTCGCGATTGTTACCAAGCAAAGATCAACTCTGCGAGTGTTTCGATCGGCGAACCTGTATTGCAAGAATGACGAAAGTGAGTTGTTCAAACAGCCTGCCCTACTGGGGCTGTGTGACAGGCGCGAGGGGAGGGGAGCCCCGAACCGATCCGAAATGGCTAGCTGGGGCAAAGCGGAATGAAAACCCCCTTCTCGCCGTACCGGCCTGCACCTGACAGGGCTCCGCGGGTTTGACGGGGCGAGTATCGCTGTGACAGCGTTGACGCGTGCCCAGCTGATTTGGCGCGAAACAGTTCTAAGCTGACACCAAAAGAGGGTGATGTAATACGAGATGTTTCATTTTAGAAAAAAAAGCATCAACACTTAGCCTGCACTAGATACATACTAACCTGAACATTAAACTAGTAGATCCTACTACTCCAAACCCTTGTGATAAAGACTCCTAGGACAAAGCCTAATACGCCTGCTGTTGTAGCGACTAATATAGCCAGCCATACCATATCTTCTAATCTCCTTGCTAGTTCTAAAGAGACCCCTCTGCAACAACAAACAAGGCACCAACCCCAACAACATGAAAATGTAATATATTCAAAAGATGACGCAACCCTAAAATAATGCAACACGAAACAGCATACATACGGCATCAGCTCACCTGGCATTATTGATGCTTTGTTGAAGGCTCTCCATTTGTTCAGACACATCCTTTCGCACGTCCTCCAAATCCTTCCCATGCCGCCGCTCCTGTATACATCATGCCAGCAACCAACACCTACGGTAAGTCAATGTCCGTGCACATTCCACCAATAACATTCAAAACAAGCAAAAAAACGCATATCTCCCTCTCATACAAGCACATGCATCCCTCTCATTCAAGCACATACATCCCTCTCATACAAGCACATCCATCCCTCTCATACGAGCAAATACACCCCTCATACAAGCACAAACATCCCTCTCATACAAGCACATACATCTCTTGCATACAAGCGCACATCCCTTGCACACGCATCCCTCACACACACAGTTCGGCATCCGTGGAGGCGAGGTTAGCAGCATAGGAGGAAGCCATGCCCTCCACATACTGCTCCAGCACCGCCTGCTTGCCCTCCCACTGCCTCACCATGTGCACGCCCACACATCCCCCCCATACAAGCACATACACCCGCCCTCACAGAATCACATCCATCCCTCCCAAACACCAGAAACAATATCCAGTCACCGAGTTCTGCAGCTGTGCCTGCAGCCCTGCAATGGTAACCGTGGCATTTCGCAGACGTGTGCGCAGCGAGAGCAACTCAGCATCCGTAGAAGCAAGGTTAGCCGCATAGGAGGCAGCCATGTCGTCCACATACTGCTCCAGCACCGCGGGCTTCTCCTCCCACCCCCTCACCATGTGCACGCACAACCATCCCTCACATCCAAGCACACACATCCCTCGCATCGCATACACCCCAACACACACTCACCGCATTCTGCAGCTGCACCTGCAGCCCTGCGATGGTACCAGTAGCATTCCGCAGGCGAGTCCTCAACGAGAGCAGCTCAGCATCCGTAGAAGCAAGGTTAGCTGCGTACGATGCAGCCATGTCTTCAATATACTGCTCCAGCACCGCCTGCTTGTCCTCCCACTGCCTCACCATGTGCATCAGCGACTTGAGCCCATACAGGTTGCTGGCAGCACCGGCAAAGCTGCTGCCGCTGCTGCTGATGCTGAAGGGGGTGGTACTGGTGACCACCTGAGCTCCACTAATGAGGGCTCCGTTATTGCCTACTGCAGTGCTTGCTGTCGCATCAGTGGCTGTCCCACTGGCGGCCATTGTGCCAGTACCCGTCTCTTTATTGCCTGCTGCTGTGCTACTTGCATCCCCTCCTACCCCACTGCTGATGCTGCTGGTGATGGTGCTGCTGCTGGTGCTGCTGGTGATGGTGGTGCTGCTCCCGCGCTTCGCCTCTGGCTCATTGTCAGTCCCATCCACCTCAGCTGTAGTGTCTGGTTGTAAGGAAACAACATCCTCCTTAATGGGCTTTCCACCATTCTCTATTGTTTTCCTGTTGACTACAACACTGCTATCTTCTCTCTGACTCCTGTCGCCTGCTGTAGGTCGCTCTTCCCGATATTCTTGGATTTTATTGCCGCCCGCATCAAAAGCACCTGTCTGCCGGCCATCTGCTGCTGCTGCCGATGGTGACGCCTGCTCCACGCCTGGCCCTGCTGTTTTCACCTGAACGCTCTCTACCTTGTCGGATAAACTACCTGACAATCCACCTGAAGGAGCAGCTCCCAGACTGCTCCCCCCTCCACCCTCCACCACATTGCTTCTGACTCGCTCCCCCTCCCCTCCATTCTCCCCATCCATCTTTGCTTCTCCTGCCTCCCTTTCACGTGCTCCTGCCCTCCCATTTGCACCTGCCTTTTCACCCGAACCTTCCATAACTTCCGAACCTCCCTCTCCCAGCGCACCTGCCCCACCAGATGAACCAGCCCCGGGGGCAGAGCCCTGGTGTGAGGGTGTGGCAGCGGATGGCATGGAGGGAGCAGTGGGGGGGACACCTACCCGACTAGATGAAGCAGATCCTGTAGCTGCCTTGCTGCCTACCATATCAACATCGCCTGCTTGACCTTGCGGCTCTTGGGAAGCAGAAACAGAGATCCCACCGCCAGACCCAATGCTGGGATCTGCCTTTGCCGCTGCCTCCGGCTTGGCCCCTCCCACTGCATCTGCCCCTGCCTCTGCCCCCTCCCCTGCCCTTGCCCCTGTCTCTGTCTCTGCCTCTGCCTCTGCCTCTGCCTTCTCTTCTCCTTTAACTAAACCAGTCAGAGACGAGCCTCTGCCATCCCCAACGGCTGCTTCCAACTCGCCTCTCCCCAACCGAGCCTCCTTACCCTCGCCCACTTCCTCTCTCACTCCCCTTCCCACATCCCCCACATTCTCCTGCTTCTCCCCTGCCACGTGTCTAGCCTCATCCGAACCTAATCCCTTACCCAGCAACTTCAAATCTCCCCCCTCAGCTTCTCTCATTCCCCCAAACTCTCGTCTAGCCGGCTCACTCCCATCACCACCAGAATCACTCTGCTCCTCCTCCGCCCCGCTGCCTTCCCTTCCTCCTTCCACCCCACTCCCTCCCTTCGCTTCTCGCCCTTCTGAAGCTCCTGTCACCTCCTCCTCCAAAGAAGAAAGCTTCTCACTACCTTCTCCGCTCACTGGTGCTGAAAATCCGCCTTCACGCTTCACCTCCCCTATTCCTCCCCCACCACCTCCCCCACCACCTCCCTCACCACCTGCCACAGCGCCTGCTTCAACGCTTGCCTCAGCGCCTGCCCACACGCCTGCCCCCACGCCTGCCTCAGAACGTGCCCTTTCTACATTGGAACCGTCTCCTACCACAGCCGCACCCATCTCCACACCTCCCCCAGCATCACACCCAGAAGCAGCATCTGCCCCCGCTGCTGCTCCCCTGTGCCCTGCTACTCCATCCACAGACGCACATCCTGCACCTTCTCCCTTCCCAGCCAGCTTCTCACTCACTCCCTCTCCCAACCTGCCCACCCCATGCCTTCCCCCCGTCCTCCCCTCCTCCCCAGCCGCTTCACCTGCCGCAACCGCACCAGATTTCCCCTCAACACTCCCCTTGTCAACTGTCCCCTTTGCTTTCGTACTTATCATCAGCTTCTCCGCTTCCCTCCCCTCCACTTCCCCCCCGCTCTGAATCGAGCCTCCATTTCTCCCTGTGGTGGCGTTGCTGCTACCACTGTCCCCTGTGCTGCTACTGCCGCTCGTGACGTTGCCTCTACCACTGATGTTGTTCCTGCCGCCACTGCCACCAATACTCCTTACCGAATCCACTCCTTCCTCAGGCACCACTCTACTGCTGCCTTCCCTGCTGCCCTCGCTGCTCCCTCCCCCCTCCCTCTCAGTACCGCGCTGGATCAACCCACCGCGCTCTTCCACCCCCCCATACACCACACCTGCCTCTTCTCCTCCTTCTACGCCCACTCTACTGCTCCCACCAGACTGCTCCTCGGCCTTCCCACAGGCAGCTTCCGCAGCAGGCGAGTTTCCCAAAGGGACAGAGCCAGAAGCTGGTGGTTGTGCGATGGCGCCAGGTGCACCTGTGGAACTCCCATTGTCGGCCATGCTGCCCCTTGTGCTCCCAGGTTCCTCACTCGCCCCTGTGTTGCTTGGAGCGCCTGCTGACTCACTGGAAGTGGCAACAGGCGCATCTGCAGCAGCCGCAGCAGGAGAAGCTGCAGACGCGGCCGCATCTTTGGGAGGAGCAGCAGAAGGAGCAGCAGGAGGGGGAGGCGGAGAGGCAGGAAGAGGATGGGGAGTCTGGACGGGTTGGGAAGATTCATGAAAAGAGGCAGAGCTTGTGGGAGCAGCAGCGCTTGCTGCTTCTGCAGCGGCGGGCACAGAGAGTGGCGGCAATTGCTCAGAAGGTCCAACAGTGGACGGTGGATCAGACCCCTCTGCCTGGGCTGGCACCGCTCTGGAACCCTCTGAACCCACTGAACCATCTAAGCCCACAGACCCCACCGTCACCACATGGGGAATGGTAACCACTTGTGGAGTGATAACCTCTTGAGTGGTAACCATTTCAGGAGTGGTAACCACTTGAGGGATGGTAACCGCTTGAGGAGTGGTAACCACTGGAGCGATAACCGCCCGAGGAACCACCGGTAGCGTCGGCACAGCAGCAGCAGCAGCAACACCCTGCCTGCCCGGAGGAGCAGCAGGCATGGCCTGCCTGCCCGCCCCCATCATCCTAGTCATTGCCTCCATCTCCTCCCTGAGCCCATCTAGCTCATTCACCCCGTGCACTCGCACCAGACTCAGCGTACAGAAGAATTCCGCCCCGTGGTGCGACAGCTGCCGCACCATTACGTACCGCACTGAATCCCCTAGATCTCCGCTGCCTGTCACCTCGAACGCCTGGGGCGTCCGCACGCTCTGCGCTGAGAAGTTTCCCAGAAAGTGCCAACGATCCGAGGGGTAATTTCTGCTCGCCCAGACTTCAAAGTCTTTTGTGGAAGAGGCGTAGAACTCGTAATTGGCTAGTACAATCGTTTCTATCCGCGCTAGGAACTCAGAGAGCTCTATAACGAGGAACTTGTTCGCTACACTGCACGGGATGCGTAAGTACTTGTCCTTATCCTCGTCTAAAACGGCCTGGGGTCGTTTCGCCTCACTGCTGCAGTCCACAATTTTGGCACCGTGATTCGCGGAGGCATAGTTGTACCTACTTTTATCTGTGCCCGTCTGTCTCCTCCGAGGCCATTCCGGTGGTTGACCACCCATTCCGCCCACCATTCCGCCTGTCATTCCCCCGCGCATCCCTCCGCCCATCCCCCCCATCCCTCCGCCAATTCCCCCCATATCAACCACTTCCCCCAGCTGCGCCCCTCCCATTGCGCCGCCTACTATCTGCCCTCCTCCCATGGGCGGAAAACCAGCGCCAGGCGCATGGACTGCGCCCCCTGCGGGGGCGACCGCATCCGCGGGTACACTGGCGGAAGCTCCGCCAGCTGCTCCGCCTGCTGCGCCTGGCACCGCGCCAGCGTACGCTACTCCCGAAGGGGGGATGGGCACTCCCGCGGGGATCACCCCCGCGATGGGTTCGTTTCCTTCCGCCGCCCTCTGTTTGTTAAAGTATTCCCGCTTGTACGCGTCTAGCCCGGGGGGGATCACGCGCACTGGCCGCGCAGATTCCGCGTCATCGTCGTCAAAGAAAGACTCTGCTTGGCTGGCTTTCGCTGCAGCAGCTGCTCCTGCTGCTGCTTCCGCTGCGGCTGCTGTCTCTGCTGCTGCTCTTTCCGCTGCTGCAGTTCCCGCAGCTGCTGTATCTGCTACTGTGGGATCCACCGTTGCCGTTGCTCCCGCTACGGGCCGCTCCTCTCTTCCTTCCCCCACAGTTCCCCCAACCTTTCCCGGCTCCCCTGCGCCGCTTGCCCCAAGCGCCGCCTCTTGACGCCCAGTCCTGCGCGGCCCAGCTTCTGTTGGAGACCCTGCTTGCGCCGCACCCGCTTGCGCCGCAATTGCGCCCGCATCTACCGGCGCAGCACCGCCAACTTGCCCCGAACCCTCGATAGTAGCCGAACCCGTGGCTTCTGACAAAGGCTCCGCCACCTTTCTTGAACCCGTTGCTTCGACCACATCTAATTTTACTGCTTCCTCAGCAATTCCCTGCGGGTGCGGTATCTCCGTATCACCATCAGCCTGAATCCTCGCCGCGCCGCTCTGGCTTCTCTGCTCCGTGCCTCTCGACTGCTGCTGCGCGACTCCCGGCCGTGGCTCGCCCGTTTCTCGGCTTCCCACTTCTGGGGTCGAAGGACTTGAAAGGGATGACGTAAAAAATACATGCTTTCCTTGATGCGATGCGCAATCGCGCAAACTAGAGCTAAAGCAGCTCTCAAACCCGAAGAGTAGAACTTGCAGGAGATTCAACGAGGTCGTCAACCCCTGTAGCGGAAGCACCAGCGGCGATCTGTAATTCTCGTGGTAAGTGCTGCCTTCGCTGAGAACTTCGGGTGATCTTTCCGTGATCCCCGCTGCGCTACTGGCTGCGGCACTAGGGCAAGTCGCTCTGCCTTGCTCCACGCATGCCTCTGCTCGGCCGCGCTGCTGGTGCTTCTGCTGCAGCTGCTGTGAGAAGAACGTGCGGTTCGGGTCGAAATTGCCGCCGAGGAACGCGGGCGAGAGCTGAACGTCGCCCCAGCACAGCAGAAGAATTAAGGTTAAAACCAGACTGGCTGTTCGACCTAGCGGAACGACAGCGACCGTCATTTTGAAAGACGACTTGCGGCCAGACGTGAGTACAGTGGGACGAAAGCCCAGGCGATCCATCGTGACCGTCCATAACAACTACTTACGCTGTAACTGGGAATTCGGAATCATTCTGAATATAAAAGCTGTGAGCACGAATACGCAGAAAGACAGAAGCAAAGATGCATGGAAGAGGGAATTGATCAAAACACAACCACTGAAGTGGGTCAAGAGAATGGAATGGAATGACAGGTTCCCAAGGATGTGGTGCTGGAAGCAGAGGTGGATGTGGATGGGAGCCTTGGGTGTTGTTCCGGCTTGTTCAGAATTGCCCCCTCACTTCCCAGGGTGGTGATTGTCAGCGAAGGTGGAACCATACAAATCGACGAACATTCGAGAACTTTCTGTATGGTAGTGCTTCTACTTCGGAAAGTCCTGAAATCGGCATGAAAGTACAGTGGGGCAGTCGCAAACTTTTTGGACATGAATATTGAACAAGATGGCGGCACTAAGGACGTGGGCCCAATCGGGTCTGATCGGCTCTGATCTGATCGGATCGGATTGCTTGTGATCACTTTGCTCGAGCCGCCGGATCAGCAATGTTTTTCGTCGAGCTTTTAGAGCTGTTGCTTGGCAAGCGCAGGAACATTACGTGGAAATTCTTATCCAGCTCACGCGAGACTGGCGACCGAATGTCAGCTGGCGAACACATTTGTTTCCCTGTAATATCGTCAACCCCTGGAGAGTTCTCGCGATGTGCCATGCATGAGCGAGGAGTTCACGAGATCAAGTTCAGCAGTGTAACTCTTCGCAACCGTCGTTATGGCCCTCGATCACATGCAATCAACTGATCGAGGGTGATTGAGCAAAATCGAGTTTGATCGGGGTTAAAACCTGGTGTGATTGAGTTGGAGCGATCAGCTGATCGTGATCAGCTGATTGCCCCCGATTGCATGAAATTGGCTTCCAGGCTTCCTCGAAGTTGTTGAACGCTTCTGATCGAGGCGATCAAACTCTATTGGGCCCACATCCTAACGGGGATGCCCTCAATGTGGCATGGCACGACAAGTATGCGTGACGCGACCTGCCGCGGTTTCGGTTCAGGCGTGCTACGCAGGCTGTTTGCGAAACAAGTGTGACTTTGTCGTGAGCATGTGCGCGCTCTCATGCGACGTCCGTACGCTTTGACGGATATCTGAAATTGGGACCTGCCACAGTGAATCAACACATTCATTATTGCGAATTGGATCAACATGTTTTAGGAATACTGTAATGAGCATTCTCATCAGTGTAGTTGTTCCGTCCTCGTCAACAGCAATACATCTCTACATTGCAGACACCCAGAAATCTCATCCATTTGTTGACGTGGCTCTCCCATGATTGAGGAGTGCTGTCATTATCAGCCCAATGGCCCCACCAGGTCCAATGTGGCCTGTAATTGGATGTGGATGACACAGATTCTCGCCAGCGTCAGCTCATCAGCGCCAGTTCGCTAATTGGCGCAGAACACCGCTACTCGGCGCAGAACACCCCCTGGTTCAACCCCTCCCTCCCCTTCCCCTGGTTTTCTGGTTCGCAAATGCTCTTGCGCACCCCTTCCTTCCCCTTGTCATCCTTCCCCCCTCCCCCCTTTCCTCCCATCCCGTTCCATCCCCATCAGACCAGCTCGAATATTTCTCAGCACCATGTCTTACATTTTCCTCTTTCCTGGATTTCTTTTAGAATCCTTGCCCATTTCCTTCCTCCCTTAGGCTTAGGGAGCTCAATAGAAATCTCCTAGGTTAACTCAAATATTTACTCCCGGAGTAGGTATTACTTGCTTTATTACTCTAAACAAACTTTGTGATTTTTGTGCTCATGATCGGAGGATTTTAGTAGTTTTATCTTTCATTAGCTGATACAACAGCTACAGCTTAGCTTATCTCTGGTAGAAATGGCGTCAGCAAACTTCTTCTCCCTTTTGGGGGGAGACGAAGTAGAGGATCCGGGGGTCTTCTTGGCTCGCGCTGAGGAGGAACAAGCCAAGAAAGCAGCAGCTGCTCCTAAGAAAGGTATCCACCAATGTAGTCACTGTTGCAGCCGCCTTTTCACCATATTCATACAACTGCAGGGTTGCATTTGATCAATCTGACAACCTTGAGGTTCTTTTTTTCTGCGGTCTCGTCGATTTTTTCCATCCAGATTCCAAGCCTGCTGCTAAGACAGCAGCCGCCGCGAAGCCCACACCTGCCGCGCCAGCCGCCGGTCGCGGAGCCGGCGCTGGAAGAGGCGGAGGTCGTGGTGGAGGCGGACGGGGAGGCGGACGGGGGGGTTCATACCCCGCGGAGGGGGGCCAGGATGGCGGACAGCCATACAGGAACCGACAGCTGCGCGGAGAGGACGGCGAGGTGTCCGGCGGCGGTGGCGGAATCCGCAGCGGTGGTGGTGGCGGCGGCGGCGGTGGTGGCGGCTATGGCGGTCGCGGTCGTTCTGGCGGAGGTTCCCGGGGAGGCGACGGGGAGCGGAGGGGACCTCGTCGGGAATTCGATAGGCACAGCGGCACTGGCCGTGGGTGAGTTCTTGGCTACACGACGATGCTTGGAAATGAACAAGCGGCTAGGTTCGATTATCACCTAATCGTCGACGATCTAATCAAGTGACGTTTCTCGGGTTCTTTTCCTGTTCTCTTCTTGCATTGATTCGATCTGCAGCCACGAGATGAAGCGCGACGGTGCCGGACGCGGCAACTGGGGGCGAGCCGACGAGGTGCCGCAAACGGGGTACGTCCGTTGGAGTCTGGTCGTCGTTGTGGGTTTTTTCCTTGTATTTAGATTATGTAGAGTGTTTTCGGTGTCTCTATTTCTTCCTGTCCCAGGTGCTGTTACTCACATTCCTTTCTATGAGCTCCGCAGCTTTCTTTACAGTGGCATATGATGTCGCTCTTCAAGAGCTTAAATATACGTTGAAAAGAGCGCTTGCTCTTTACTGAGCACACCTTTTTCCTGATGCTACTACACCTTACAGCTTCTACTGTTATCTACCTTCATTGCTACCTTAGTTTCTGTTGGCGCCGTCATGGGTGCCGTTTCGACAAACATTCATTGGCACAGGAAGCTACTCATTTAGAGCAGTCAATCTCGTGAAGTCATGTGCAAACATGCAGTAGCGCGTGATGTCGCTCGTTAAGAGCTTAAATATACGTTGAGAAGGGCTTTTGCTCTTCTATGAGGTCAATTTTTCGCTGATGCTACTGCCCGCTTCGTTTCGCTTGCTCCGTTGTCCATCAGACCGGCAAATGCGGCGACTGCTGTGGAGGAGTGTTCTTTACCTTCGTTAAACCTCCGTCCCGATACGTCACAAGTGTCGCTAATAGTTCCGCCCTGTGCCATTTCCTCACCCGCTGGTACATTGTTTGTGCTGCTTGCCCTACAGCGATCAGGAGGAGACGGGCGAGGAAGGCGAGGTCAAGCAGGCCAACGGAACGGCGGAGGGAGAGGCGGCTGCTGCTGAGGGCGATGCTGCTGCGGGAGAGGCTGCCGCTGAGGCCGCCCCTGCTGAGGAGGAGGACAAGGTGAGCCGTGACTCGTTTTTCTTACGATTGACCTTGTGCGTTTACAAGGTTTGATGCGTTTGCCCTGCGCTCCCCATCCAATAATGTTGTCCCCAAAACCCGATGCATTGGGCGTCTTTCAGTTCGGAGCCACGTGCGCTGCTCCACCCGTCCACCGCCCTGAACGCTGCATTTTTGTCTAACTTTCTCAAACGCACTCTTCACCGCAGAACTTAAACGAAGCTAGTACGAGATTTCCGTCATTTCCCGTGCCACTTGTCTCCGGGCTGCAGAGCTGAAGAGCAAGACGAGTAGGGTGAAGCACAAGCCATCGTACGCCGCTCACTCTTCTATCGTCCTTCCCTCCCACCCTCTACCCCTTCCTGCTTATCCATCAGGAGATGACCCTGGAGGAGTACGAGAAGGTGCGCGAGGAGAAGCGCAAGGCGCTGGCGGCGAGCCGCACGGCGGAGGCGCGCAAGGTGGAGGTTGACCCGGAGATGGCGGCCATGGCGGTGCACAAGAAGAAGGACGTCGATGAGGACGCTGTCTTCGTCAAACTCGTAAGAAAACACCTCCCTCGCTCCCTAGCTCCCTCGCTCGCTCGCTCGCTCGCTTCGCTCTTGAGATGGCGGCCATGGCGGTGTACAAGTAGGAGGACGTCGATGAGGACGCTGTCTTCGTCAAACTCGTGTGTCACGCTGCACTTCGTCCTGTCTTCCTCCTTTCTCGCTCGCTCCCTCCCTCGCTCTCTCG